GGGTTGAGTTGGAGAACTGGAGGAGAGAAAACTCGTGGCTGGTTGCTGCGGGCACGAGGAGAGAACTGTACGGTATCGGGTATCTGGCAAATGGGGAGGAGAGAGGGGAGTGGAGAAAGCTTCGTGAGGGAGTTCAATGTTGGCTGCCTGCTGCGTCACGGGATGAGATGACCTCGGAGTATAGATTCATGTGCAGGCACTGCAGGGCATGTACGTGTGTATTTACCTACCTGTATATACCGCGCGCATGTCAACATACAATATTGGACCCTGCGGGACGATCCTGCACTCCAGTTTATGTTTGTCATGAAGTTCAGACGAGGGTCGGTTCAGCAAGTATGTGCCTGCACAGACTGCGCGACCATGGACCACTCTCTGCGTGTAAAATACCAAGTACGGCCTGGAGATGAACTTGAGAGAAAGATTGAGGCCCGGACATGGCTACGGGTGCTGGGTGCCATCTTCTTACGGGCATACGGGCACTGCATATATGTCGGAATCTCTGGAGGCAACGACTACGTGAACATTTGGTAGTAATAGCATTGGTCGTCTTGGTCTGTGTGAGGATTGATCATGACAAGTGTCGGACCATGCCAAACTGTCGCTGCGTCGCATCACGGCACATACGCCACTCCCATCCTACGTTGACCGTGCGCATCACCACTCCCTCAACTCGCCGCCCGGCCCAAAGAACCCCGGACTCACCCACGCCTCCGCCCCGCGACTCGCCGCCCTCACCTTCTCCTCATCAATCTCTATGCCCAGCCCCGGCCCGCCCATGAGCTGCACATACCCGTCCTCCACGCGCCACGCATCCCTGCTCCCCTCGGCCAGATAACTCAGCAGGTCGTACCCGCCCACGTTGTAGTGAATCCCCAGACTCATCTCCTGGATGGCAAAGTTCGCCGCCGCGGCATCCACCTGCATGCTCGCGGCGAGGGCCACGGGCCCCAGCGGACAGTGCGGCGCGAGGGCCACGTCGTACGCCTCCGCCATGGCGGCCATGCGGCGCAGCTCCGAGATGCCGCCCACGTGGCATATGTCGGGCTGGAGGACGTCGATGCAGCACCCCGGCGGCTCGAGGAAGGGCTTGAGGTCCCAGCGCGAGTGCAGGCGCTCGCCCAGCGCGATGGGGAGGGTGCTCTGCTGCGCGAGGCTGCGGATGCCCTCGACGTGCTCGCTGAGGAGGGGCTCTTCGATGAAGAGCGGTTGCAGGGGGGCGAGGCGCGCGGCGAGCTGTTTGGCCATGGGGCGGTGTAGGCGGCCGTGGAAGTCGACGCCTGCGTCGAGGCCGAGGGCGCGCACGGCGGAGACGCGGGCGAGGCAGGAGTCGAGTGCGGCCGGGGAGTCGAGCCATCCGACGTCGCTGGTGGCGTTCATCTTGACGGCCGTGAAGCCCTGCGCCTTGCGGGCGGACCTAGACAATAGAAACACACTGTCAGTCTATCTGGTCTGGTAATTGTAATTTGCAGTTGACAAGGAATTGCGCGTTAACATGGGGACTGGACGTACGCTTGCGCCTCGACGTCGTCGGGCCGGTCGCCGCCGATCCAGGCGTAGACCTTGAGCTTGGAGCGCAGCTTGCCGCCGAGCAGCTCGTAGATGGGGACGTTGAGCTTGCGGGCTGTGCATCGTTAGCATGCCGCTCCACTTAGACTACTTGTATCTCATCCAGGAACCTGTCGTGGATACAAGACATTGAGACACTCGGAGCTGGTGGATAGTCACACACACCCTTTAAATCCCAGAGCGCAATGTCGATGCCCGCCAGCGCACTCATAAACACAGGCCCGCCGCGGTAGAATGTCTTGCGCCAGGACATTTGCCAGATGTGTTCAATGTCACTAACAAGGGAGGGCAGTCAGCGGACACGGTTGACGTAGATGCAAGATCGGTCGGCTCGCACTCAGCCTCCAGGCCCGTGTACTGCGTAGCCCACGCATCCAAGCAGCCCTCCACGGCCTGTGTGTGGCCCTCGAGCGAGGCCTCGCCCCATCCCGCGCGGCCGTCCTCGTCGGTGATCTTGACGAAGAGCCACCGCGGCGGCACGCGAAAGTACTCGATGCTGGCGATTTTGCCCATCTCGGCGGATCAGCTTGCTTTGGTCCAGTCGCGCGGCAGAGCAGTGGAACGGATGTTTGCTCTGGCGAGAGGATATGAGGTGCGGTCATATGAGTGAGTGCGTGAGACTCCCGGGCCATGGGGGGAGGGGCGGCACTGGCGTGGGTGATATCGCGGATGATCTGCCGATGAGGGGGACCCCCACGGAGGAGCAGGGCCCGGCCCCGCTCCGTAACCGGCGCGGGGGGAACGCCGGAGACGGGGCCTTTTTATTGGTGCGCAACGGCCCGGCTCCGGCGAGGTGCGTCCGATGCCCTGATTGCCGGCAGAGGTGCTGTGCGAGTGACTTCTCATGCGTCGGGAGGGGTTGCACCGAGACACGCACGGCACGCCGAAGCCGCAGGACCAGAAGTGCGAAGGTGAGTCTAAGTCGTCCTGGCTCCACAGAGAGCCTGGGACATCACTGTGTCTATTATACATCTAAGGCGCCGAAGCAGCATTGGCAGCGCGGTCAGACAGCTCGCGAACCACCGCCTTGAGCAGGCGATATCCGCTGTGGAAGCACAGCGACCGGTGCTCCTTGCCGGCGTAAACCTCGGTGCACGCCTCCAGCGTGTCGAGGATGGTACGTCGCGGCGGGATCGCGAACCCGTCTGCGAGAGGCGCATCCTCGCGCAGGAGGTGCAGACTGGCCGTCAGCGCCGCTGCGAAGAAATCCAGCATGTACAGGTCGGCCAGGGGTCCCATCCCGCGAACGTCACATTCCGGCTTGTAGCCAGCTTCCTCGGCGCTCTTCTCGCCTATCCGCGCCGCGGCCTCCTCCTCGGCGTCGCAGAGCTCTCGCTGCTGCACCAGCAGTGCGAGGCTGCACTCGAGCGACGACCAGTATGATATCGGGTATCGCACCGGGGCGTCGGGCTCGAGGGCGTGGCGGCGGTGCAGCACCAGGAGCACCCTGCGGAAGAAGACGTCTATGGCGACGCGCAGCGCGGGTGTCACCTCTGGTCCGCGCACCCGTTCCAGAATGCCCATCAGCTGCCGCACCTTTGTGCTGTGCTCGATGATTTCGGTGTAAGAGGGGCGGTCTGCTTCAGAATTGACGCGGGTCACGACCTGGAGGATTGTCGGACACGCCGTGTGGATGACAGCGTGCCATGCGGCGGTAGGTGTGGCCAGTGTCGGAAACGTCCAAGACAAGCCACCGTTGTCGCGCAGCAGCTCATCCGCTGATATGCAAGACGGCATGCCGGTCGTGACAGCCATCTGCACGTCAAAGTACAGAATCGTGGTCCAGAGGAGCTGGCCTGCCTCCCAGTCGCGGAACACGACCGCGGGCGAGTCGGGCGGCGGCTCTGGTCGGTGGATGCCCAGACAGACGGCGAGACGGACCACCACACCAAGCAGGGCCCAGCACGAGTCAAAAGACCAGCACGTGCCATTTATGACTTGCTTGGCCAGGAGCATGAGACAGAGGGTGCGCATCGTGGACACGGTCGGTCTCAGCATAAACGGCGTGCGAGCGAGGCACGCCTCGGCGGCCATGCAGAGCTCCACGGTAGATCCCGGGTCTCGACCGCCACGACTCTCGATCGCAAAGTTCCCCAGCGCGAGCACCATGAGCATCTCGGCGAGCCAGTTGACGTGCGTGTCGGCGGGGTTGTCCCAGAAGCGCGCCATCTCGGCGAGGAAGCGCGGCGGGTCGAGGATCGGATGCAGCGGCTGGTAGAGCGCGAGATAGGCATCGACGTACGTCTTGTGGCGGGCGCGATGCGTCTCGAGGAGCTGCCTCACGGGCTCGAGGGAGGGCGAGGCGGCGAAGCGCACGGCGCCGGGGCTGTTGAAGGGAAAGTTGCCGGGCAGGGCGCGGCCCTGGGCGCACTGCGTGTGCTGCTGGGCGACGTCGGTGGTTGCCGTGTGCAGGATCCGGCTCTTGAGGTCGGTCAGGGAGTCAAGCTGAGCGAAAGAGTCAGCATCAGCACAGTAGTCATGGTAGATACATGCGCGTGGCAGACACTCACCCTGCAGAGAAGCGCTTTCCAGTGGCTGAGCCCACGGTGTCGCGAATGCCAGGTGGTAATCACCGTCTCGGGCTCCTCCTCGGTGATGACAAAGGGCATGACCTCTTCGGAAACAGGGGTCGATGGGTCGCGCGTAGTCGCTGTGGTCGTCGTCGTCGACGGCCCGTAACTGGCCTCGGCCTCGTCCTCGACGCGATGCGTGTAGGCGCATTGGCGTCCCCAGCCGGAGAGGCGACACCGCGTGCAGGGCTGCTTCTTGTCACACTTGACCTTGAGTCGGTGACAGCGCACGCAAGAGAGACAGGCCCTGCGACGCCTCTTCCTTGCCGGGTTGGCGTCGTCGTGAGCGTGTTGCTGGGCTCCGCCATGGGCTTTGTCCTGGATCTCTGGGCTGTGTGCGTGCTGAGGAAGTGCCGAGTCAAGAGTCCTGGCCGAAGCCGCCTCACTCGCCTCTGCTGACAGCAAGGTCACGCTCGTGTCGGCAGATGCCGGAGACGTCCCGCCTGACGATGTCGACGATGTGGCAGCAGGCCATAGGGAGCACTTGGCGTTGACGCGCCTGCATTGCTGACAGGTGGGCTGTTGGCGGTCGCACTTGATCTTGAACAGGCGGCAGCGCTCGCACGTCTTGATTTGTCTTCCGGGCATTTCGAGGGCGGCTCGGGGTCCCAGTGTGTCACGTTAACTGCGCATTGAGCCGACAATGAGGTTGATGCAAAGGTCGCAATGCCATGGCCCCGTCCGATGTCATCGTCAGGATCGCAATTCTGTCGGCGATACCGGTCGAGCCTCGGCCGAGCTGAAGACTCATCCCACCTCACCCGATCCGGGTCACGTGTCGCCACTCCCACGCCTGCAATCGACGAACAGCTGCACCTAGATTCCCAAATCCAGGAAAGATGTTTGTCTTTGTCTGGCGTGAGGTGCTCATGTTTGACGGTGGATGGCTTTAATGTTCCGCTATACGACCTAGAACGTGGCTTGCGTACCCGAGAGCCAACAGCCTTCAATCACAAAGCCAACGACCCAGTGGCGAATCCCAACCAACCATCAGCCTGGCCTTGTCTTCCTGCAAAGCCGGCTGATAAATGAATCCATTACGGAGAGTTCTATTGAATTCGATGATTTCTGGTATTAATCTTGGATCCAACGATAACTGGCATGTGGGTGCATGTAGATCGTCGGGTTCCAAATCGGCTACCCTACGTCGCCTCAATGCGAAGAGATGGGCGCACACCTCGGATACACGTAGTCCTGCCGTCTCACGCCATGGCCTGCGCTGGACCCTCTATCTACTCAGATAATAATCTAGCAAAAGTAACCTGTATTTATACCTGGGCAGACGCCTGGCGTTGGCATCGACACTCGCTCTGACGTCTCGTGTGGTACACCCTTGCCCATTGTTCAACTACGCTCGCTGAATTGGCCAAGATGAAGTCTGCTATCGTTCTATCCGCGTACACCCTGGTTTGCGTCACTGCTGAGTCGATTTCGCCCGTACACCCGGATTGCGCCGAACTGTTTCTACGCTCTCTATCGAGCACAGGAGCGAAAGACTGCCTTACGATTGGACCTCCCAAGAACCTGGCCGCAGACGCTGACCTTGGGATTTCACAAAGAAATGCACCATTCAGGGTCACAAATGCGATTACATAGGCATAAATTCGACATTGTCCTTCCGCCTCATGGATCCTTGATATTGCCAGCCAACCAATGGACAGGATCACAGCGCTTTCCACCACCCTCGACCCTTGCCGGCGTGCATATTTATGCGCACCACTGCCAGCCTTGCTATATGCGACAATGATGATTAGCGAACTGAGAAGCCCTTGTATGTGCTCGGCAAATGTCAAACTTACGCCGCGGTAGATCTCGCAAGTCGACTGGGGCCAGTTCGGATAGCAGTCGCCCGTGTCAGTACGCAGGCATCCCTGCGCACACGTCGCGCATGTGGCGCGCTTCTGCTGCTGCTCCGCTGGAGAGGCAAAGCCCAGACCAGCAAGGGCAAGGAAAGAGATGGCTGCGAAGAACTGCATCTTGGAATTGTGACGTTGTGGCTGGTTGTAAGTGGTGCGGCAAGCTAGAGTCTGGTGAGTGCGAGGCGGGTCACTTGAGCTGAATGCGATTGATGGCGACGAAGACGGGCGATTATGATGCTTTAATAGTACAGTGGTTGCCACAATTCCTGCCATTCAATTTCCATGGAAACAATGGAAAACAACGCCGCCACAACTGGCTCGGTCGAGTATCGCCGAGAGGCGAAATCCCTCGAGTGAGACAGTTTCAGGCGGTACATCGGCAGCAACGCGGGGCGCAGTTCCGAGGCATGCTCACCAGAGGGTTCGGGCTCTCGGCGGCTTGGCAATGTTGCTTCGTCTGGGAAGGTCTGGGAAATTGCACTGAGACTGAAGCCGCTGACTCGAGAGCGTTGCCAGCCCGTCATGTTCACGAGCGAGAATGCGCGTCCGTTGATGGACTTCAAAGTGGTTTGGACCGTTGAGCAGTGACACTGGAGGGTTTGTTGCTTCCCGGCAACCACTTTACCTAAACGGTTCTCTGAGACTGTAAGTTGAGACGTCTTTCAGTGTCGAAGAATGATTCATTGCATTTCTAGGGTCCAGTAAACACGCCACCGGCCAAAGACACACCACCAGGAGAACCCTTGCCGTAACGCATCGTGGACTAGGTTGCATTTTTGGCTTTTCCGAAGACTTGTTTCAGATCATCAAATCAGATCATTCGCAATTCCAGGCATGCCAGGACGACGCTTTGGGGGTCCTGTCAAGCCTGTCAACCTGTCGTGCCTGTGTTCACCGTTACGTCGTTGCACAGCGGACCCTTGAGTGGCGCCTGGCTCGTCATTGGCGTCGAAGGCGTTCGCGCCTCTTCGTCCCGCCCTGGGATGGTATGGATGCTGTCGGTGCCGGGGGCTGCACGATTCGACGCATGGCATGTCGGTATCATGTCCCATGGTCGAAGGGGGAGGCGTGGAGGGCCTGGTAGGCGGGATGAGCGACTGTAAACGAAATAGCCACTATTTGCCAACCGTTGGCGGAAGAGTTCACGACGTACTTCAGCTACGCCTACTCGCTGGGCTTTGGGGACAGGCCAGGCTATGCGCTCCTTCGAGGCCCCTTCCGTCGCGCGTTCATTGCCCTCGGATTCAAGCACAACAATGTCTTCGATTGGACCGAAAAGCGATTTAAAGAGCTATATAATGAGGCCAAAATTGCGATTGCCCTTGCCATAAGCTTGCTCAAACTCATCGCGTTTACATCCAGGATCGGTGTCCACTGTCTCTCCCAGTGCATGTTGCGACGTTACACCCAGCCCGCTCAGGCAAGCTCGTACTCTGCAACGAGCTTCTCTGCACAGGTCATTCCCGTGAGGTAGGCAACTGCTTGGGTGTGGCAGCTGGGCAAAACAGGAACCACGCTCATGTCAGCCACGCGCAGGTTATCGATGCCAATGAATCGGAAGCTCGGGTCAACGGCCGCGTCAGCGTCCCCGAGCTTGCCCATCTTGATCGTGCCCGTCATGTGCCAGCTGGACGAAATGGTCTGCCTCCAGTGCGCGAGAAGGTCATCGTCCGAGTCGCTCTTTGGCCCTGCAATCATGGCCACACTGTTCTTGGCGTAGCTGTCCTGCTTGGCCACCCGCATGGCCTCGCGGAGCGCTTCGATCGCCACGCGACGGTCAAACGGCGTTGCGAGGAACTTTGGGTCCATCTTGAGTGGCACGTTGGGGTCTTTGGACTGCAGGGTGACTTCTCCACGGGCCTGAGCGTTGTAGTAGAAGACGATGAAAGCCGAGGCATTGAGGCAGTCCTGGGGGAAGTCGGGCGAGAACCAATGGATCGGGGCGTGGGTAATGATTTCCCAGTGAGGAATCGTCTCCATGGATAGAAACGTCTGCTCCTCCGCCGGGAGTGCCTTGAACTCTTCTGACTCCGCGAGCTTGTCCAGCTTGAAGTAGCCGACGCCCAGCTGGCAGGCGAACTTGGACCATGGGCCCGTCTGGTCTTGCTTCCACTGCGCCATTGCGTCATCCATGACTTTTTGGTCACCGTAGAACTCGGCGCGGTCGGTGTCGCCCTCGACACGAGTGAAAGCGAGCGGGCAAAACTGGTGGTCTCGCAGGCCCTGCCCAACGGCCGGGGCATGCTTGACGACGGGGATGCCGAACTCTTGAAGCTGGCTCTCGGGGCCAATGCCAGAGTGCATGAGGATCTTTGGGCTGTCAAGTGCGCCGGCGGAGAGAATGACTTCCTTTGACGCGAGGTCTGCAGAGTGTAAGTCGAAGTGTTCAATCTCGATTCAAAATGCGCCGGTGGAACTTACATCGCTTGCCGTTGGACTCTACGCCAATCGCCTTGTTGCCCTCTAGAATGATGCGCTGCACCGGCGCCGAACTGAGAACAGTCAGGTTCTCTGGCCGTGGCTGGAGCAGATCCTGGCCAGTAGAACGCAGACCCTTGGCGCAAGAGTTGATGAGCAGGGACATGCCGATCGGATTGCCCGAGTTGTGGTCTGGATTCAGCGGGAAGCCAGCTTCCTGGAACACGTCGAGCATCGGCGGCAGGTCTTTTTCGAGTTCTGCAGCGTACCCGGTGTGGAGCGGCCCAGATGTACCATGGTCTTCCGCTCTTGGGCTGGCATATTTGCCTCGCAGATTCTGCGGAAGGTCGTTGTGGAAAGTCTCGAGCTTCTTCAGTCGGCCCTGGATCCTGTCCCAACCAAATGATTCGTCCCCGACGATGCGCGCCCACTCACCGTAGTCGTCACGGGCACCTACTGTGAAGACGCCAAAGTTGACGGCGCTGGAGCCGCCGAGCCCCTTGCCGCGGAAGTAGTCGAGCTCACGGTCGTCGCAATGCTCTTGAGGCGTGGTCCTGTATCCCCAATTCATCTCCTGGTTCGCCACCGTGATCCATCTTTGGCCGTCGACTCGGAGAGACTTGTCATTGTTGTCGCCGCCGGCTTCGATCAGCAGGACCTTGGGTTTCTTGGCGGCGTTCGCAACGCCCGCTGCGACGGCGCATCCGGCTGGACCACCTACGACCCGGAGACAAAGCAGTTAGATCTATAGTCCCGCGATCTGATAAGACCTTGCAAATATGGATACAGACTTACCGCCCACCACTATAAAGTCAAACGTCGATGTTTCCATGATGATAACGGCTCAATGTAGAGGTGTGCGGCTGGCGTTGAGCCCGCAAGTGGGGTAGAACGTGGGGTAAATAGCAGAGGAGATATTGAACTCAGCGATGCACTCCCGCCGGTCAGTGATGCATCCAGCGTTGCAGTACAGATCGCGCATGATTCTGGCAGCAGGGAAGCTGCAGTTTTGTACGCCTGTCCATACAACGCATCTGGTGTGCTTTCCAAATCGGTACTAAAAGCATACTATCGACCGATGTGTGTGGCTGTCCAAACTCGCGTGGAAGGTTTATGCATAGTTTCTGTCAGCTTACATACTGATTCCATACTCCGGCGCCGTCCAGCGATTGATTACAGCGAACAACTCCACCGGGTCAGCTGACGATGATTGAATCGCCAATGCTCTGGGTCGAGCTTCACGGCGACAGCGTATTTAAGGCTAGCCGCCCACGAGTCGAGTCCAATCGACACGGATAAATCGTGGCGAGGCAGCACTGAGAGCGCGAGGCACAGCCATGTCACGGCCTTATCCTTGTCAGCTCCGGGTCGGACTTGGGCTGCACTGCGCAACTGCCGAAGGTTGACAGCGACGAGCAACCGTCGGCTCTAGTGCAGAACGAACGTAAATCCGACAGTGCGGGGCAAGCCCGCCGCAAACGTGCATCTGTGATAGGGAGGGACTCGGGCACTATGGAATAATAATGCACGTTTGGCTGCGGTAGGTGGCCGATCGCCGAACTCTGGTTGCGTTAATGCGCGTGCCGCGGGCGCTAAACAGAACAGGTAGTCACCGCTATTATTGGGTTTCCGTCTTCCGACCCGCGCGGCACCCAGCGAGGGACTTGGCTCAAGCAATCTCGATGGGGTGAGGGGCGAGACCATTGCCAGCTCGGAATCCGGAAGTTTGGTTCAATAGCAGTCTTCTGTGAGTTGACAGTGATCAGGCCGATTCAGGCGCAATTCTGCCATTCTGCTCTTGAGCCGCTGCCTCGGCCTAGAACCGTAGTCATTCTCATCCGGCACATAACACAACGTCGCCCTCCCTGCAGGCTATATGGTCTCAAGCAGAGGGTCCGACTCCAGCAGCGCGTCAACCAGTTTCATATTCCTGACAGTGCAAGCAAAGTCACACCAATACCCGCCTTCGGCTTTGCACATGATTTGCGAATTGACTTGAGGCTGCTATTTTAGCTTCTCGTGTCTCATTCTGGCTGAATGGCCATGCGACTTACACCTCATTGGCAAGTTGCGCTCCAACGAGTGCCCAAATACCAAAGGGGCATTGCTGGACACCTTGCAATCGTCGCCGTTCGCGCCGGTAACGGCGGCGCAGGAGAAGTCTATATCTCGCCATGCACTGCACCAGTTGGTAATGATGTGACTCAGCTCGAAGGGCTCGCAGATGTGCATCGGTCGTCGACTGTAGAAAAGCTCTCGCGTTATTGCTAGACTGCAGTCGATGGCTGCAGGCTTTGTGGCTTCAATAATGGCTACCCGATGGTAGAGTGCCAGTTCCGATACGGGCGTTCCGCGATGAACTACACGCCGTGTTGTGCTGAATGTGAGGGCATTGTGGAGATATGGCTGGCCTGGGGGCAAGGCTGGGTGATGCCCGCGAACTGTGGATTCTGTGAGCACTCTTTGCCTGGTGACATTTAGCTTCAAGGCAGTGAATATTACTGTTGACCGCCCCGGTAAGGGCACAAAGAGTTGGCGATGTGCGATGAAGAAGAGAGAACTGCACATGCGCGATTGTGTAAGTGACGGAAATCCCCTCTTCAAGGGCAGCACATTTGCAGAGCCACTCGCCTCATACCTTGACCAGCATCCCCGCAAGAATATCGCCGTTGGTCAGTAGCGGCGAGGCAACCCCATAATTCGCCTTGAGACTTTCTTGATGCTTGTCTCGTAACCGTTCAATCAGCGCAGTCGGAAAAAAGAGTGTGCGACGCTCTTCTTTGGACGGGGGCATCAAGTGAAGCATCAAACCAAGATTTATCTCGAGCTTCTCCTTTCGCGACACTAGACGATATTTGCCTTTTGTTCGCATCTCTTTCTTGGACACATTCTTGGGGCCGTCGAGCTGGCCCTGGCTCAAGTCTAGGAAGGGAGGAGGCTGCTCTCCACGATAGACGAGAAGCCACGCCCTGATCAAGCTCCCAAAGCCCATTTGATCCGCCACAGCGTGTGGAAGATTCATTGCCACCACCGTCGAGTTTGTGTATCTCGTGAGATGGACCAAAAGAAGGCGCGTGTCGGGTTTGTCGAACTTGCGTTCCACTGGCCAGTCGCATGGCGTCCAGTGTGCCTCCAGAGTAGGAATCGAGCTGACGGTAGTGACGGACTTGTCTGTCACTCTGGGAAGTAGATCTGACGTCTCGAGTCCAGCGTGGACCTCTCTGGTAGACCAAGAGAACAAAGCGTAGTCCTCAGAGATGGTCCTCGGCAGGTGGTACTCTAGCGATCGATTCTTTCGATTACGCTTGATGCGTGCCCCCAGGATGGGTAAATGGTGTCTGATCAGCTCGTCTAGAGCTACGCGCAATGCATCATGATTCAGGACTTCACGAACGACAATGAAGAGCAGTGACCGGATGTTGTCGATCGGCTTCCATTGGTCCTTGGGGTCCAGGGGTCTGATGTTGGGCGACTCGCAATCCAGAGGCATTGTTTTCGCTGCCCAAGATCCCTAATGCAAGTTTCAGCAGTGCCCATGCAATGAAGAAACGAACCTCTTGCAACCTACTCTGGATATCGTTCCAGTTCCACTGTCCGACAGTCGACTTCACGTCCGTGATGACATGCCTCCAGTGCGTGCGGCCGGGGATGGGAAAGGGGTGTTTTCGGCGTCAACAAATCTCAATTAATTGCCATGAGGACAACATGAGATCAGAGACTGAAAGGCCCCGAAGGGTTTTGCAAGTCTCCAAAGTCGCGTGGCCCACTGGTGTACTCTACACGGTAAAGTGTCCAGGGTCGTTCGTCATGCAAGCATACGTGTGAAAGCGGCTGAGACATGAGTGCATTGTCACGCCGTACAGAGAGACGAGATAAGAGAGCATGCAACGCCATTCAAGGTGATGAGACAGACACTGTGCATGTTGCTGCGTTGTCACTTCAATTCGTACTGCGACACGCAGCTGATCCATGATCGGCGGTGCGACGTTCAATGCCCAATGTGACGATTACAGGTGTTCAATATTATTGAGCCACGGAACGAGAAAACTGGACCCCGCGTTGCGAACATTCAGAAGGACGGTCTCAGCTTGTAGTGAACTCAATCAAGACCGTTGAACACGTCACCGAGGCTGTATCATTGAAGGCAGCCCGGGTCTTGATGTGACCTCATGTGATCTGCCTTCTCTGGGTAAGGATCAATCGCACTGTTCTCGGTGTCACTCACGATACTGTCTCAATGGTTCCCGCCTCTCAGATTTCTGTCGATCACTGTCGGAGGCTATCTGTCTCTATGCTTTTTGAGTCAGTCGGCCGAGCGGCATGGAGATACTGCAAGCCATGAGATGTTGTACGGAGCAAGATCATTGACAATGGCTGGACGTCAAAGCGGTGAAGCTCTATTGTTGGGTCGACTTGGGGCTAAGGCGCTACATATGCCCTTGTTGCTACGTCGTGAGCACGTCCGTCTCTTCGCAAATACTTTGGCGAGCGAAGTTGGTCCTGCACCCAATTGCTCGCTAACCTCGGTCCTCGCGTATGCGAGTAGCGGCCCACGCCATGTATCTCGAGATCACTTCAGCCATTTCTACTGTCAGCTTTGTGGCAGGCATTATCTCTCACTACACAATATTCGTGCGAGGCGAGTGGGACAGACACGCACCACTCCTGTTCCACTGTTTCATCACGACGCCCGTGATCCTCATATTGTCGTGTTTGACGGCCAGACTAAACAGCGCTGCTACTCTCATAATACGGGCCTGGCTTTGCTATGTTTCGTCACTTTGCCTGTCAATCACAGTATACCGCCTGTTTGGGCATCCACTGAGGAGCTTTCCAGGCCCGCTATATTCCAGACTGACTACATCAGCATGTATAAAGGCCGCAGCCGTGGATCGGAAGTGGCATGTCGAAGTGCAAAAGATGCATAAATCCTACGGCGACTTTGTTCGGATTAGTACGCCCTTGATCTATATCCCCTCACTAGAACACGGCTAAGTGGCTGCAAACAGGGCCTCGTGAGATATCGATCAACAACCCCAGCGCGATCCACGAGTTGGCCAAATGCGATCGCGGCCCGTTCTACGATGTCCATCACCCCAATCAATCTCTTCTCATGACGAGGGATAAGGCCTTCCATCAACGACAGAAGAGAGTGTGGCAGAGAGCTTTCAGTCCTAACGGTGAATACTCGCGAGATCGGGTTGCACGAACCTTTTCTTACAGACTGTACAGCCATGCTGGCGCACGAAGACGACGTTCGCAAATGTTGTCAACAGCTCATGCGCTGCCTCTCGTCCACTGCCGGCCAGGCGGTAGAAATCACTGAGCTCATGCAAAGATTCACATTCGAATCCACGGGCCTGCTTGCTTTTGGAAGGCCTTTCAATATGTTCCAGGAGGGCTCGTCGCATCGGGCCTTCACACAACTAAGAGCCAATAAGCACCTGGCAGGAATGATTCTGTGGGCGCCTTGGGCGATGATCCTTCTTCGCAACCTGCCATTCGTAAAAACCAAGGCCGAAGAGTGGATGCAGTGGTGTAAAGACGAGGTAGAGCAACGCAACAAGGTACGTACATGCAGGTGTTATCGTTGAAAGCCCATGAATGCCATGCTGACACGGAGTGAAGACTTCAACAATGGGTCACGATCTATTTAGCCACCTCTTAAACGATCAAATTACGAACCCGGATGCGTCAGGAACGACTAACCAAAATCTGATTCACGATTGCGAGCTGGCCGTCGTAGCTGGTAGCGACTCCAGCGCCTCCGTTCTCAGCGCTATTCTGTCTTTGCTCGCAACTCACCCCGACAAGCTGGCAACTCTTCAAGAACAACTGGACGCTCAGAGGACAGATGAGCTGCCCTTACCACATGCTTCCCTTGCGAACGCCACTTACCTCGACGGCTGCATTCAAGAAGCACTTCGTCTCTGCCCAGCCATCATGAGTGGATCTCAGCGAGAAATTGGCCCTCGCGGGGCAGTGGTCGCAGGCCGTTTTATACCAGCACACATGCTTGTGTCCACCCCGACATACGTCCTTCATCGAGGTGAGACATCACTACCGACGGGGTGGAGTTTCGTTTTAACAATAGCTTACCTTTCAAGACGAGAGAAATTTTGTGAGGCCGGATGAGTTTGTTCCAGAACGGTGGTCTACTCAACCGCATCTCATCGTCAACGCAGACGCATTCATTCCGTTTTCTGCAGGCAGATATGCCTGTCCCGGTAGACCGTTTGCAATGATGGAGTTGCGTATGGCAGTGTCATCTATAGTGGCAAGGTTCAATCTCAAAGACGCAAAGGGGACGATGGGACGACGAAGCATCCCAGAGACGTATGACTGCTTCGTGTCTCATATACCGGCTACATATCTTGTATTTGAGCCTAGGGAATAGAATTGGCGTGGATATCGAACGGAGACTGAACTAGGGCACATCGGGTACATTGATACTGGAGATCACTATTACACATGTATCTTCACCGCATCGCAACGGCCGGCAAGGAGGCTGCTTACAGAATCGTCACAGGGGCAAATGATTCCGGCAACTGGTCGTGGACTCATTGTTCCCACCCTTCCCGACTCTTCAGTTGCAAAAATCCCACTTGAGGACCCTGATGGAGGATGGTTTCCTCCATTAAGCAGAAAGAAATGTTGGACCGCAAAACGTAGATCGCGTAGTCCGACAACTGCCGCGACTCACGTACTGACGTGATGAGTGCCGCGGTCTGTTGGGACACCTAGACGCCTGCAGACACATGAGACTGATTTGCAAATAATGAGTACCGGCAGAAGACTCAAAGGCAGCACAAATGGCGTCTTTCGGTGCTACGAGTAACACTTACATGACTCTGACGGTGAATATGGGCAGGTGAGTGATTTGCGTTGGTTGCAAAGGCTTTGTGGCTTGAAGGGGATGTCCCATGCACTGACAGCTCATTCCGGGTGAGACTGTGACAGCTCGTTCAGCTTGGATGACCACGGGTGGCGGCAACTCATGCCTAAGCACGTTGTGAGCACTGGGATTATCTTGCCCAACTCTGCACACATCACGCATTGTTTTCCGGTGGCGTAGTGAGACGGGTTCTGCCCAACTGAAAGATGTGCTGACGCTCAATGCAAAACCGTGCCTTCGGCATGCTCCGGTGCCGCTGTAACCGACTCTGCCAGTTTTGAGCAAGTAGCTTTACCAGCCGCTCAACTCGTGCCGTGAATCTGCATGTCTCATGGCTGCGCAGATCTCGTTTGGAACCGCGTGCATTGTCACACCAGGGTCGCCGACCAGAACTATCAAGGTAACCGTCAACGCCGTCGATATACAGTGAAGAAGCATGAATAGTTACTCGGGGACCGCGTCGGCAGATCATAAAACGGCCAACTCCAATCAGCAGCACCGGGCACTTGGTCGATCCTTCACCCTCTTGCAAGCTTCCAACCGTTGACTCTGAATCTATTATGGATTCTCTCGACTTGCAAGCATTGACCGACCTGGCTTACGGCACCCTTCAAAATGCCTCCGACTTTGCATTGCAGAAGGTAGAGGCAGCCGCCGGATACTGGCATGGCGAGGTCAAGTGCAACGTCGCAATCACCAGCGAATACATCTGTCTCCGACAAGCGCTCGGTCTATCGCTTGATGGGGACCGCGATGCGTATCGCAAGTATCTGCTGTCGGAGCAAAATTCGGATGGCTCGTGGTCCCTCGCGCCGGGCCTCCCAGGCGACGTCTCGGTGACGACCGAGGCGTACTTGGCGTTGAAGATTCTTGGCATGTCTGTCACGGGTTCTCGGCAGATGCAGCTGGCGTGTGACAGCGTGCGCAGCATGGGCGGTGTTGCAAAAGTCCGCATTCTCACGCGCATCTACCTGGCAACACTCGGCCTCTTTCCCTGGACGGCAATACCACAGTTGCCTGCAGAGGTAATTTTGCTTCCAGTCCTGTCGCCCATCAACATCTACAGGTTTGCGTACTGGATTCGCGTCACCCTTATTCCCATTCTGATCATCTGCCACCATCGCCCGACCTATCGCCTCCCCAACGGCGTCTCTGCCGACAACGACTTCCTCGACGAGCTGTGGCTCGACCCGACGAATAAAGCTGTGCCTTATTGCAGTCCGCTGTTGCAGCTGTTGCTCCAAGCCAACTTTGTCGCATTCGTCTTTACTCTGGTTGATAAAGTGCTTGGCCTCCTCGGTTGCCTCCGCTGGGTACCAGGTCTCAGGGCTCATTCGCGACGACGCTGTGTGCGTTGGATTTTACAGCGCCAAGAGCGTAATGGCGATTGGACCGGAATTTATCAGCCGATGCATTTGAACCTATTTGCGCTGCTTTTAGAAGGGTTCAAGATGGATGATGATCCAATTCGTCTTGGGTTGGAGGCACTAGAACGATTCGCGTGGCAGGACGAGGGTGGCAAGCGAATGCAGACGAGCGTCTCCCCGATCTGGGACACAGCATTGATGACGATCGGCCTCTGCGAATCAGGCCTGTCGCGAGGCAAGGGCACGGAGCTGGGCGACTGTCTAGATCGTGCCGTGCAGTGGCTCGAGTCCCAGCAACGGCTTGGCCCGGAAGGCGACTGGCGCGTCTATCGCCCGGGGCTCACTCCAGGGGCTTTCTCATTTCAGTTCTCCAACTCGTGGTATCCAGACGTGGACAATACGGCAATCGCCGTCATAGCCTTGATCACTCACGACGCCCGAGCCGCCACATCGCCCGCCGTGACAAGGGCGCAAGAATGGATCTTGGGCATGCAGAATGCCGACGGCGGCTGGGGAACATTCGATGTGGAGAACAATGCTTTGTACCTGAACCGGATTCCCTTCAGCGACATGGACAGCATGTGCGACCCGTCCATCGCAGATGTCACTGGTCACGTCCTGGAAGCATTCGGCCTTCTGCTACGGGCAACTGAAGACAGCATCAAGCACGACGCCAACTTGACAGCTCGGACTCGCTTAGCTGCTCACCGAGCCATAGGCTACCTTGCACGAACGCAGGAACCCTGCGGCGCATGGTTCGGGCGCTGGGGCACCAACTACATATACGGCACATGTACCGTCGTCTGCGGCGTGGGGTATTTCCAAGGACGCGACGCGGGCGTCCCGAAGCTGATGCAGTCGGCGACGAGCTGGTTGCGGTCGGTGCAGAATCTCGACGGCGGCTGGGGCGAGTCGCTGCTGTCCTATGCCGACGCCTCGCTGGCTGGCCGGGGGGCTGCATCAGCGCCAACCCAGACCGCGTGGGCGGTCATGGCATTGCTTTCGCACTTGCCTCGGGAGAACGAGGCTGTTTGTCGCGGAGTCCGATGGCTCGTCTCGGCGCAAACAATGGCGGAGCCCTATGGCGGGCAGCAGGCGGCGTTATGGGCGGAGAGTGGCTTCACCGGCACCGGCTTCCCCAACCACTTCTACCTGGGCTACACTCTGTATCCTCACTACTTTCCAATGATGGCATTGGGCCGATTTTGTTGTAGAAGTAAGGAGCAAGAATGGGCAGCCGGTCCTGGGGCGCAAATGGCGCGCAGGTAGAGTTACCCTGGGCTATTTAGAGTGTTCGAATGTCATCGAAATGGGTGCATGTAGGAAGTACAAAATGTTGAAGCCGTAACCGTTACGTCGGGGATGCGCAATGGACGCCTTTCAAGGTTTGTCTTGTCCTTGTGACGACTGTGCCTGCGCTCTATGTCATGTCGTGGGCTGTCTGGGTGCGCAGTGTAAGATGCTGTAGGTAGCTGGAAGGTTTTGCTGCGCGTTCTGCTGCGCAAAACATGTGCCCACGACTCTCCTCATAGTCCAATATATTGGTGGAGAGGGTCAGCCGTCATGTGGCAATACGACTGGAAGCATGTCGACTGACAACTTCACGATCTGCATGCTGCCACGGGGACGTTGAAACGACCAGAGCGTGCACGTCATGCCTCGGAGCTCCTCGAATTCCCACGTCCCCAACCGCCATCATTTCTCGGCCCCAAGACAACCCCGTTCCCCCCGCGGCGCGTCATCAGCCAGTCGCTCGCGTTTGTTGGCGAAAAGCTGGAGCCTGCCTCTCCCCTTTACCCGCTCATCAACCACCGCCCCAGCGGCGCCCGGGGAGCAGTCCCGGTGCTTGACGACTTTAACCCCCAAGACAATCTTGAGAGGCCCAGGTCATTAGCCGACGGCGCGCGTGCGGGAGGGGCATAGCGGCCGTGGTGCGACCGAGGTGGCGGCTATTGTGTGGGGTGAACTGGGTCCCTCTCGCAAGATGGCCGGGCTGCTAGCGGTCGGTGAACCATGGAAGTGCGCGCGCTGCATGAATCATTCCACCTGGGACATGGGAGAACCTAGATCCGTTGCAATATTGCATGGGCCAGGTCCGCAGATGGAGGATGCTATTACACTCCAAAATCCCCCAAAGCAGACCGCATGATTCTCAGTCGTCAGGGGCATCGAATTTGCACGAAGTGTGATCGAAGGAGAGCGAAGCGCAAGTCGAAGGAAGTTCGGTCAGGCAAGGCCTCGTCTCGCGCTGCTCGACCTTGAGAGCCTGCGGGCGCCAGACCAGGGCAACGGGGGGGCAGAATCAATAGCCGGGCGGATCTCACCTGCATCTTGTGCCCCCACGCCGCCATCTGCCTAGTGAGCCACACCTTAACGGCTGGCAGGATAATGGCGCAACGGGGAGGCGTGCCGGCACTCTGGCGCCCCTGTAGATCTGCATGCCCAGTGCCGCGGACTTTTTCGCCTCGGAGCTCGGTGAAGCGCTGTTGTTGGGCCTCGCCGTGGTGGCCGGCGACTGCGATCCATTTACATGGCCTTCACGAACGTCGCCGCGTGGTACAACGAACAATAGCCCGCGACCCTTGTGCATAAAGAAAAGGAACGAGAGCGGGCGAGTGTCAACGGCTCCCGCCAAAAATCTCTGCTCATCCGGTGCTCTGCCGGAATCTGCACTGGGGAGCCTCCCGGCTTTGTGCCCCCCTCCATGTCCACCCCCCCTGGTCCACCATTGCGGAGCCTCAACAACACGAACGTACGTCCAGACTGCACAAGTCGAGCTTGCCCGCCATCTCGCTCGGTGGCATTCCGCGGCGCCAAGTTGGCGCGTGCAGGCATCCCCCCCGTATCGTTGCGGGCCTGTGACGACAACAGCACCACCTCTCTCGGCGTACTCCCACCCGTCTCCATGCCCCATCAGAGCGTTCAATATTGAGGCGTCTGTGCTTCATTCTTCTCCGCGGGGTGGGCTCCCCGGAATGGAGCCCTGCCCGGTCCTCTGGTTTGCTGTTGAAGAAAACCCGCCAGGGAGGGGGGGGGGGCCGGGGCCCAGCGAAGAAAGACTGAACGTTGAAGAAAGCTGGAGATGTGGGGGGAACTTGTTTCTGGAAGATGGGGTGAAGGCTTGCGGAGTGTGGGATTGTGTGCGGGTTGAGCTGGGGGAAATGTGACCACCCCGACCGACTCCATAGTAGCAGTAGCAGTCGCACTTGACGCTCGTGGGGAGGAGGAAAAAATCTCACATATTTAAGGTGTCCCCGACCGAAATCCGTCCCTGCTCCCGAGTGTACTGCCCGAGACCTGACTGCTTTGGACCGACGCCGCCCCCGTCGATTCGTCTCGTCTCGTCCCAGTACTCCGTCCATCCCACTCAAGACTCGCGTCTTGCAACAGTCACAATGGCTGGCGACGAAATCACTCAGGCGCAGGCCGCCCACGGTTTCGACGCCGAGAAACAAAATGTCGAGAACCTCGAGCACGTCCAGGACGCTGCCCCGAGCCCCAACGGCACCCAGTTCCCGCCCATGGACCCGGCGCGGAGGGCCGCCGTCGAGAAGAGCCTGAAGCGCAAGCTCGACACGCGGTGCAGCCTCTTCGTCCTCATCTACATCATGAACTACCTCGACCGGAACAACATCGCCTCGGCCCGCCTCAAGGGCCTGCAGACGGACCTGCAGCTCGATGACACCCAGTACGCGACGTGTCTCAGCATTCTCTACGTGGGATACATTCTCATGCAGGTCCCGTCCAACATGTTTGTCAACCGCATCCAGCGCCCGTCTCTCTACATCGCCCTGGCCATGCTGCTCTGGGGTCTCATCTCGACGCTGTCGGGCAACGCCAAGACCTTTGCGCACATGGTCACCATCCGTTTCCTCCTGGGCTTCATCGAGGCGGCTTTCCTGCCCGGAGCGCTGCTTATCCTGTCGAAGTGGTATACGCGCCGCGAGCTTACCACCCGCAACGCTGTCTTGTTTTGCGGCAACCTCATCTCCAACGCCTTCTCGGCGCTTGTTGGTGCTGGTGTCTTGTCCAACATGCAAGGCGTGCTGGGTCACGCCGCCTGGCGCTGGCTCTTCTGGATTGAGGGTGCCGTGACCATGACGGTTGCCATCTCCGCGGCCTTCATCCTGCCCGACCTGCCGCACAATGCGCGTGGCTTCACCGAGGAGGAGAGGATGGTCGCCCAACTGCGCATGTACGAGGATGTCGGCGAGGCCGATAAGGACGACGAGAACCAGGGTGCTTTTGATGGCCTGATGATGGCTGTTCGCGACCCCAAGATCTACGTCATGATGTTCACTTTCACGGCCTACGTCGTGGGCCTGTCCTTCAACGCCTTCTTCGTACGTTTGCAAACCCTCTACGTACGAAAGCTCTCTGCTAACACGGCTTGTAGCCGACGTTGACCGGAACTCTCGGCTTCGAATACGTCCCGACTCTGCTCATGAGCTCGCCGCCATGGGTCTTCTCCTGCATCATTTCCGTCATCATCTCCTGGCACGCCGACCGAACGCAAGAAAAGGTAAGCTAGTTCACATGCTCCCCCCTCACACCCAATCTCACCACTAACATGCGTAGTTCTGGCACATCGTTGGCCCCATCCTCATGGGCATCGTCGGCTTCGTCATCAGCATGGCAACCCTCAACGTCGCCGCCCGCTACCTTGCGCTCTTCCTGCAGGCCGGCTCGTACGCTGGCTTCATCGTCTTCTACTCGTGGATCAGCTCCTCGTTCCCGCGCCCGCCCGCCAAGCGTGCCGTCGCCATTGCCATGATCAACGCCTTCAGCCAGCTCGGCAACGTCGCTGGGTCCTACGTCTGGGGCCTCAAGGACAACGGCTACCGCAAGAGCTACGGCATCGTGCTGTCCATGTTCGGCGTCACGATCGCGGGCTGCTACCTCTTCAAGCTGATGCTTGACAACCTGAACAAGAAGCTCGCGGAGAGTGAGATGCAGGAAGTGGCGGAGCAGCGTGCCGACGGCGACATCATCGACAGCAACGACGAGTCGCTGCGGATGCGCAAGGGCTTCCGCTACTTGGTCTAAGCCCAAATTTGTTGTACATAGCTGCGAGATTACGAGCGAATGAACTTATGAACTTGCCCACACTTGACCTAAGTAGGCACAGTTGTCATGATGCTAGCCTGTGGTGTTGCTATTATGCTCCGTGCTTTTATCTGATCCAGTTCGCAAATCTCTGGACTAATGCGATTGGACCTATCGGCGCTCATACTCATGGAGCATCAGGATCGGGATTGTTGCCCCAGACCCTCGTCGCGATACCCTTGCCCGTCAGCTTTGTGTCCGCGCTCGGCTCCAACTCCAGCACGACCACCTGGTTGTCCCTTCCATGCGCCTGCACATACACACCAGGGACATATAGACTCTGTTGCGGCCCGACGGTCCAGTACCGACCGAGATTCACGCCGTTTACCCACACCTGGCCCTTGACACCCTTGGGGAGCGAGAGGAACGTGTCGCCCGAGAGATCCGTCTTGGCACTGTCCTTGAGCTTGAACGTGCCGGTGTAGAAGACTGGCGTGTCTTTTACGGCGGCCTTGCCGTGGCTGCCGCCAGACAGCTCCTTGGGCAGCGAAGAGAGCGGAATGGAGTATGCGGACCAGCCGTCGAGGACCCTGTCTCCAACCTTGACGTCTCCGACGATGCCCTTGGCCTGCTCTCGCAGACGCTGACCGTAGTCGATGCGACCGAGGTTCTCAACAAGCAGGCGAAGGACGTCGCCCTTCTTGAGGGACACTTGCACCGCCTTGGGCGTGACGTACGTCCTATCCATGACACCGACCTTCTTGCCGTTGACATACACGATGACACGATCTCGAGGCTCATCGCCAGCGGCCAGAACACCGGAAGAGTCCTCAGCAGCGGTGTGCTCGTACAAGACGAAACCGTATGATTGACCGAGCGACTCCATGGTCACCGGCTTATCAGACTTCTTGGTCGGCTCCTTGGGGAGGGTATCGAACAGCGCGACAGCAGGCGAGAAGGTGAAATCGTCGACCTCGGTCAAGTCTGGCGTAGCCGGGAGGTCGGGAATGCTACCCTTCGGAACATACTTTGAGATCATGTCGCGGAGCTTGTGGTACACTTCGGTCGGGCGGCCGCTCTCATCGAGAGGCGCACCGTAGTCGTAGCTCGAGGTGACGGCATTGGTGCGACTGTTGGCGAAGATGCCGCCGTTCTCGAAGCCAAAGTTGGTGCCGCCGTGGAACATGTAGATGCTGAACGAGTGGTTGTTCTGCAGCACCCACTCGAGGTCCGCGACGACGGAAGCGACAGCCTCCGGGTTGCCCGACGTGACGTGATGCGTCGAGTTGGCGGCCCAATCATCGATCCAGGTGATGTACTTCTCGCCGTTGAGAAGAGGGCCGAGCATCGTCTTGTCCGTTACGTACTGGTCGCGGGCTTCAAAAGCACCCTTGGAGTCGTCTCCGTCGACCTCGGCGAGAACACCGTGGAGGGTGCCTCCATCGAGGTAGCTCTTGCCGCCACCATCGTTGGTGTAGAGGAACACGTCAAAGTTGCTCCGCAGAATGTCCGCCAGCGCCTGCAGGTACGCCTTGTCGTTGTCGAAGCTGCCATACTCATTCTCCAGCTGGGTCATGAGAATGGGGCCCCCCTTGGTAACCTGCAGCCGGCGCAGCTCTGCGCCCAGGCGGTCCAGGTACTTCTTGGAGGCATCGAGGAACGGCTTGTTGTTCTCTCTAACCTTCATCCCGGGAATCTGGCTCAACCATGCGGGAAAGCCTCCCCACTCGCGCTCGCCGCAGATGTATGGCCCAGGGCGCAGCACCGCATGGAGGCCCTCCTCTTGCGCGATGCGGAAGAACTGCGCAATGTCATTGCGGTCGCGAAAGTCCCACTGGCCGGGCGTGGGCTCGAGGTTGTTCCAGTAGATGTAGCTGAAGATGGTGTTGAGGCCCATGGCCCGAGCCATTTGCAGTCGGTGGCGCCAGTACTTCTTGGGGATGCGCTGTGGGTCCATCTGCCCGCCGATAATCTGGTAGGGCTGGCCATTGAGCAGGAACTCGCGGTCGTTGTAGCTAAAGTTGCCCTTGGGCGTCGGGTTGGCGGCCGCCAAGGGGGCAGCTAATGCCACAAGCGCAGCCAAGCCTGCGGCGGCGCTCTTGAGCAACATGCTCGCGGGCCGGGTCAATCAATAGCTTGCGAGAGCGGGTAGGCAACCGGTGGCGTCTTCGCCAGATCTCGGTTCAAAACGGGTCCTTGCTTGGCACAGAGATCCGATATCTTTACTTGAAAGTAAACAAAAGTGCCGCCAGCACAACAACGTTGCAGCAGCTTAAGCTTGCCCGTCTGCTGGAATCAGGCGTCCTGGGCCAGAGACGGACGGGCGGGCCATTGCCCTTTTAATCTCACCTGCCCGTACGACGCGTAGTGTCGTGAGGAGAAGCTTAAAACCCATCGTGCTGGTTGAGGCCAGGGAGGAGACACGCGGGGAGGCGAACATCGGAGCTAGAGTCGCAACGTCGGCCGCAGAAGCGCGCAAGGCCATTGGAGCGCGTGAACAATGCGAGATGATGCGACGCTCGATGCGACTGGGCCGTCGGGAAGAGGGTTGTACAGCACCCGTCTGGAGCAAGGCAGGCAGGCAGGCATCAGGGCACACGGGCGGGCAAGCGGCGCAGTGTCGGGTGGAGATCCCCCACAAGGGGAAGCGGGGGGCAAGACGAACGACGTGCTTGCGAGCTTCCGCATTGAACCGAAGATCTGCACTAGCTTGGGCCGGGTACGGATCCCCGCCTGAGCTTGAGCACTCCATGTGGCAAGAGTTGAGGCTTGGGCGTTGCCTTGGGCGATCGGTATCTAATCGGAATGGACAGGACTGTTTGATGGAAGCGAGGATGGTCGAATGGTCTGTTACATGGACTGGACGCAGCATGCCGGATGGGAAGCCACGACGATGCAAATGCGGCTTCGGTGTGTGCAATTGTACTAGATATTGTCTAAGAGGGGATCAATTGGAATCAGAACAAAGTCCCGACGGCTGTCGTCGGCAGGATCTGCCGAACGCTGGGGCCATGGATAGAGCGCTGGGGTTACATCTGGTGCCAAGGGGTACATAGCTTACCATTGCCGTGCCAAAGCTGGTTCGCAAGTGGCGACTCTTTTATTTTGTTGTGAAAGCAAGCGCCATTCATGGGTGAGAAACTGATCCTTGGAGCAGTCTCTTGTCCTTTCACAGCCCAATTGCACTGACTCTACGTCTCGGCAAGGCAGCCGTAAGCACTGCAAGCAGCGTGACATCCCTGGTGACCAAGTCGCGCGCCAGAAGACTGTGACCAACAATACCGCTTGCTTCAACGCCGTACATCACGAATTACGCGAATTCACATGGACTTCGATAATGTTTCAGTTCCATTTTTCTCTCGAACATCAACATGAAATGCAGACAACATTGCATGGCACGGACGTGTTCGTATCGGTCAGCCTCCATGTAAGCGCTCGAATTCGAAGCGCACCAACGGGCAATTGAGCTCTCGCCGATCAAGCCCATCGTCAACACGATGCGATTCTATATCAACAGCACATTCCCGTATTCGACAGAAAAAGGCCATCGCCCTCTACTGCCGACCGCAACGTTGCACGAACCCTGCAACGTTGCAGAGTCGCTGCCATCGATTGAGTAAGTGAATCGATCTTCATTGATACGGGGGCGGCACAGGAGAGCCCAGACGAGAGCCGACGGGCCAAGTTGCTCCGCTTTCGCAGGCCCGAGGCTCCGCAAGGGAGCTCCCAGCTGCCGTTTGGGGTAGGGCTCGTAGGGCACGGCTCCGCCTCCGGGCCGCCGGCATTGACGTCAGCCTCTCTAGCTCGTCGTGCCGCGTGTGGCTTGGGGAAGAGCCCGGCGGCGCATTGTTTGTTCGCCGCCGCTCTGGGGTTTGGAGCCATGCGACCGGATACAATGGATGAGCGTGATGCTATGTTCGGTTGGCCGCGGTGTCCGTCCTGCCGTTTCTCGTCTGGTGCTTCGTGCGAACCCCGGATTCTTCGACTATCGCGATGGCGATCGTCAATGTTACACGCGGGTGAAGCTGCAGGACGGGATGAGTTTCTTTGCTGGATGCGACGTCGACGGGGATCGGCACCGGACTACCTCCGGTCGTGTCAATCAGGGTCCAGCGCTTAAATACTCGCCAAACCGCCGGCCAATCTTTGTATGGAAGCTTGTCAGACAGGCTGGTTCCACGAAGCCACTGAGCACTTCTCCCTTCAATTGACCAAGAGCTCTCGGAAAGCGACTACCAGTCAGACTCGATCCAAAATGAAGTCGCAAGTTGCCCTTACAGCCGTAGGGCTGGTTGGCGGCGCCACTGCCGCTTCCGAGCCTCTGCTGCCGCTTCCTCCCATGGGCTTCAATAACTGGGCCCGCTTCATGACCAACATCACCGAGGGCATCTTCGTCGACGCCGCCGAGGCTCTCATCAAGACTGGCCTGCGCGACGTCGGCTATAACCGTCTCAACCTCGACGATGCCTGGTCCACCATGGAGCGCGCCGCCAACGGCTCCATGGTCTGGGACTCCAAGAAGTTCCCCAAGGGCCTCCCGTGGCTGACCTCGTACATGAAGTCCAAAGGCTTCATCCCGGGCATCTACACCGACGCCGGTAGCCTCTCGTGCGGCGGCTACCCCGGTGCGCTCGACCACGAGGAGATTGACTGGAAGGACTTCAAGGCCTGGGGCTTCGAGTACCTGAAGATGGACGGCTGCAACCTGCCCGACGGTGGCGAGCCCGTGTACCAAGAGGTGTACTCCCGCTGGGGCAAGCTCATCACCGAGGACCCCGAGGCCATGATCTTCTCCGACTCGGCGCCCGCGTACTTCTCCGGCGCGGACAACCTGACCGATTGGTACACCGTTATGGGCTGGGCGCAGAAGATGGGCCACCTTGCACGCCACTCGGCCGATATCCAGACCTACCCCAAGGGTAAGTCGTGGCCCAGCATGATGTACAACTACGACCAGCACGTCCGCCTGGCGCGCTACCAGAGGGTCGGCTTCTTCAACGACCCCGACTTCCTGAACGTCGACCACCCGTCGTACACCCTCGACGAGAAGAAGAGCCACTTTGCTCTGTGGTGTACCTTCAGCGCGCCTCTGCTGCTCAGCACCGACCTCACGGCCATCACCAAGGAGGAGGTCGAGTACCTCTCCAACAAGGACCTTATCGCCATCAACCAGGACAAGCTCATTCAGCAGGCCACGCTCGTCAGCCGCGACAGCAACTGGGACGTGCTTTCCAAGGATGTTGAGAACGGCGACCGCATCGTCACTGTCCTCAACAAGGGCGCCTCGGCTGGCAGCCTCACCGTGTCGTGGGAGCGCGCCGGTCTGTCCACCAAGGCTCTCCGCCGCGGCAAGGACGTCTCTGTCAAGGACCTCTGGACGGGCAAGACGACCAAGGTCGACGCCAAGAGCGGTGGCATCACTGCGAGCAACGTCCCGTCGCACGGCACTGCCGTCTTCCGCATCGCCAAGTCCGTCAGCCCCGTCACTCCCACAGGTCTCATCTTCAACACCCTCAGCATGAAGTGCCTCACAGACGACAAGTCCGGCAAGGTCAGCTTCAAGGCTTGCGACGGTTCCGATGGACAGACGTGGCAGGTGCGCCGTGACGGCCACATCAACAGCCTTCTCCGCCCCGATGAGTGCATCGTCGACGCCGAGGGCAAGATTCTCTCGCGCCACTCGGGCTGCCACACCGACGGATGGAGCTACGCCGTCTCTGGCAACCTGATCAACGGAAACTCGGCAAACTGCCTGACTGAGGCTGCCGATGGTACTGCGACCGCGACGAAGTGCGGATACGAGCTTAATGAGCAGGTCGTTGCTCTGCCCGTTGGCGTGACGGTCAACGAGAAGTAGGGTGGTCTGCACCTAATGTAGTGCGCTTTACTTTCTGCAAAATAAATGGCAGCGATTTCGAATTGAATATTCTAGTACACGAAAATAAAGTCCTCGTTCTTGAGGTCCGTGACATCGTCAAATGCCTTGTCCCCCACTGCTTCGTCCAAGTGGTTAAGCACCTCGCCTTCCGCCGCCTCTTTGTGCCCGGCCATGCTCAAGTCTTGGATGTGCTCGCTCTTACCCAGAGCTCTGCGCTTGGCGGCTTGCTTCTTGTTCAGGAGCCAAATGAGGCCCATGCCCAGTACGATCAGCACTGCTAGCACGATGAACAGCGCCAGGTTCGTCTTGACGCCCCGGTCGTAGCGCGGCTTCTCGCTTGGCTTGAAGAGGTGCGGTCCGACGACGTTGCCCGCGCTGGCGCCGACGAAGAGCATTCCCGTGGTGACCTTGCGCTTGGTGTCTCCAGCTGTGTTCTGGCCTGACCACGAGTAGATGAGTGGCGAGATGCCGGGGTAGACGGAAATGATGTAGTAGCCGACGAGGAGTACGGCGCGGTCGCTCGGCTCGCGGCCTACGGCGAGAAGGATCGCCAGGCCGGCGATGGGGGGAAGACAGAGGAGTAGGAGGACGGGCGACTTCATGCGGATTTTGTTGGACAGCCAAGCGCCGCCGAGGGTCGCAATCATTTGCACTGCTCCGAAAGGGATGTTGAACAAGATGGTGGTGAACTTGTCGAAGCCAAACGACTCAATGATGAGGGGCCCAAAAGTCGAGATGCCTCCGCTAGGGACACTGTCTGATGTTAGTACACGCACAAGTAGATCTGTCCAAGGGGGCACGTACGATATCACAAACATGAGGAAGAACCACAGCCAGGTCTTCGGGTCCAAGACCGCTTCGAGCACATGGTCCCACTTCCAGATCCCGGATCCAATGCCCATCTGGTTCATCCGCAGGCGCTCTACCGCGATGAGCTTCTCCTCTTGATTGAGGAACTTGGCCTCCATCGGCGAGTCGGGCATGAAGATGCTAGATTGAGTCAGCGTCGGCTACAAGTAACTATCGATGCAATCGCACAGGGAAACATACAACATGACCACGGAAAACGCGACTGTGATGCAACCGCAGAAAAGGAAGATGATCTAGATGTAGCGGGTGAGCCTCGACGGTCGCAATGTAACGAGGACCAACACATACCTGATACGGATGCAAGTGCGACTGGATATGGCCGAGGCCATATGTCAACAGGCTTCCCAGCTACGTGGCGCCGGAATTAGTACGCCATGAACTGTGCATGCCGGCCGGGAGCTCCCTCTCACCATATTGACGACGCCAAGCATAGAGTACCACGAAGCGTTTCGAACCGTCTGCTCTCGTCGCCTATACCACATTTGCACGATGGCGATGAATGTAGGTGCTGAACATCGTCAGTCTTTTACATCGACGGATACTGGATGGGAATCCTCGACTTACCAACCGATGCCTCAAAAGCACCCAGCAGCAGCCGTGCTGCCATCAGCCCTCCAAAGTTCGTCGCCGCCGTCATGCCACACAGCACAGCACCCCAACAAAACACCATGACTGCCGAGAACTTGCCCACCGGGAACTTGACCAGGCCCCACGCAATCAGCGGTTGGAAGACGAGCTGTGCCAGGTAGACAATAGAGCCGAGCCACGAGAACTGGTCGCCGACGAGATTCGTATCCTGGATAATGCCGAAGACAGAGGCGTAGGAAAGAGTCGTCTTGTCTAGCGATTGAAGGCAGTAGACGAAGAGCATGATGGGAAGGAGGCGCATGTCTATCTTGCGGCGGACGCGGTCATTGTCGGCGGGTGTAACCACGACCGGGTGGTCAGCCTGCTTCAGGAACTGCGCAGCCTTGTCTCTGAGCTTCAAGTGGTCGGTCGTGGTGGTGTTTGGAACGGCTGTAATGCCATCTTCTGCAGCGTGACCATCGGCAGGGGCATGCTGTCGAGCTGCCTCTAGGTGAATGCTGTCTGCATTCTCCTTGCTGGGATCCATCTTGGAAGAAATCAGCTGGGCAGCTGCTTTGGAAAGAAATGTGGCAGTGCTGAAAGTTGGTAACGGTTGAGCTCGAAGGCATCAACTTGTCAAAGCCTGGGACGTCGCCACCAGACAACAGGCGCTGTTGCCTCCTGTTTATATCCACGTCGTCTAGTGGCGCACGGAGAGAGGCCCGGCACGGCGTAGGTCGACTCGGCAAATGGGACGGTCCCCGACTCCCCATGGGGATTCCATTTGGGGTGAGCGTTGGCCAAAACCTGGGGTCGAAGAGGCGGGGGGCATGTAAGCGGCAGTGGTGGGTTAATGCAGCCACCGGACATGTTTTGCTTTCTCCGATCGGATTTGGCTCGATTTCTCCGCCAGATCCTGGGCGAGACACACACCAGCGTTAGCCACGCTTCAATTCACGCAATCGGGTCTTGCAGGCTAAAAGGCAATTGTGTCCGCCACGCGGTCTATTGTCCGCGCTGGCCGGACATTTTCCTCTTTGTCCGGGTCGTCATTCGGCAGAGCTCCGTTGCACCGGAACGAGAGCCCGACCAGGGCAGCGTGATTTGGCATTTGATGCAGGACTCCAGAACATCATGTTTTATAAATTCACAGTGGCCTGTCGCGCTTACTGAGCCAATGCATGCCAACTTTTCAACCAACAGTCAATTCTTCCCCAAGTTGACGCTGACCAGACGCCAGCGAAGTCTCATTCACCATGCCTCAAAAGGAGTATGCCCCTGAAGCTTGGGCGTTAGAGCCCGCGACGGACTCGTCAACACCCAAGATCAGCCTTCGCAACAACGACAAGACAAGTGCTTTCACCTTCACGTTGGAAGCGATACGCACCAATGTCTTCAGGACCACCTTTACATCAGACACTCACCTGCTGCCGCCGCACCCTAGCATTCCCCGGCAGGCCCTGGAGTCACAGCTGAGCCCTGGCTCGGCCACCGTCGAACAGACAGACAACAAGAAGAGCTTCCGCTTGGGTGATGTCTCTGCCTCTGTCGACTGGTCCGATGGCGCGCCTCTCGTCACAATTAATTTGAAGGGTTCTGAATCTGCCCTACACGAGGATGTGCCGCATCGCTCTTACGCCGTCAATGGCGCTGGCGTCGCGCATTATTCGCGCTACAGGCGGAATACCCTACACGTCGGACTCGGCGAGAAGGCGGCGCCCATGGATCTCTCTGGCCGGCGCTTCCAATTGTCCGCCACGGACAGTTTTGGCTACGATGTCTACCGTACAGACCCTCTGTACAAGAACATTCCGTTGCTCATCAACGCCACGCCGTCAGGTTGCATTGCGCTCTTCTCGACTGCACACACCCGCGGAGAGTATTCCATCGGCGCGGAGATGGATGGTATGTGGGGACACTACAAGGTCTATAGACAAGACTATGGAGGCCTCGAAGAGATCATTATTGTCGGCAAGACTCTGAAGGACATTGTCGGCACTTATGCACAGCTCGCGGGCTTTCCGCTGCTTGTGCCGCGATGGGCATTCGGGTACCTCTCCGGTGGAATGAAGTACTCAATGCTCGACGACCCGCCAGCTTCAGAAGCACTGCTAGAATTGGCGCGAAAAATGAAGGAGTACGATATTCCTTGCTCGGCGTACCAAATGTCGTCTGGCTACACAGTGGCCGAGACGCCGCCGAAGACCCGAAACGTCTTTACCTGGAATCGCCATCGCTTTTCGGACCCTGAAGGCTTCATCAAGGAATATCACAAGCTCGGCATGCGACTTATTGCCAATGTCAAGCCCTATGTTCTGGCGAATCACCCCGAGTATGGAAAGCTGAAAGCGGCCGGTGCCTTGTTCAAGGACCCCCGGACTGGCGATACTGCCGTGACCCGGCTTTGGAGCGCTGGCGGCGGCGAGAGTGGCGAAGGCGGCCACATAGACTTCACATCGGCGGCGGGCTTCAAGTGGTGGTACGAAGGGGTCCGTCAGCTTCGACGAGAAGGCATTGACTGCATCTGGAACGACAACAACGAGTACACAATCACCGACGACGAGTGGCAGTGCGCTTTAGACGAGCCATCTGTTCGCGACGCATCGGATACGGCCAAGGCTCGTCCGCAGGTCGGACTTTGGGGTCGCAATCTGCACACCGAGCTACATGGCAAGGCCTCACACGACGCCCTCCTCGACGAGGATCCCGACTCGCGACCTTTTGTCCTCACTCGCAGCGCCACGGCCGGCACTCTTCGGTACGCTTGCAGTTCCTGGAGCGGCGACAACGTGACGTCTTGGCCTGGAATGAAGGGCGCCAACGCCATTGCTCTCAACGCCGGGTTCAGCCTTATGCACTGCTACGGCCACGACGTCGGCGGCTTTGAAGGTCCCCAGCCGAGCCCTGAGCTGCTCGTGCGCTGGGTGCAGCTCGGCGCCATGTCGCCTAGATTCGCAATCAACTGTTTCAAAACGGGCGGGGACAATAACGTCGGCGACGTAATTGAGCCGTGGATGCACCCCGAGGTCACGCCGCTTGTCAGACAGGCCATCAAGAGGAGGTATGAAATGATCCCCTACCTGTACTCGCTCATGCTGGTCAGCCATCAAGAGGCTGTGCCGCCGCAGCGATGGACTGGCTGGGGCTATGAGGCAGACCCAGAGGTGTGGACGAACAAAACAATTACAGACGGAGAGACACAGTATTGGCTTGGCGACGCGCTGCTCGTGGGAGGTGTGTATGAGCCAGGTGTTAGCCAGGCATCGGTCTACCTTCCAAAGGCAGGCGAGGACGACGAAGGTTTCATCAACATCAACAGTCCGTACGAGCACTTCGAGGCCGGGCAATGGGCTACGGTCGATGCGCAATGGCATGGCGCTGGCATACCCATCCTCGCCAAGGTTGGCTCCGCCATACCAATCGGTCGGGATGCGCAAGTGCTTTCGCCCGGCGAGAAGGAGAATGTCGCAAGCTTGCCTTTGGACGACTACCGGGGTGTCGAGATCTTCCCGCCACCCAAGGGTAAGGGAGTGGATGGCAGGTGGTATAAGACTACCTGGTACGAAGACGACGGCGTGTCGACGGTACAGAAGAACAGGGTGTCCAGCTACACGATTGCGTATAGGGTCAAGGGGTCGGTTGTGGAGGTAACTTTTGCAAGAGACGAGAGCTCTGGGTTTGTTGCCCCGTGGAAGACCCTGACTATTTTCCTCCCAGTGGGCGACATGAGGGACCTAACTATCGAGGGCCAGGATGTGGAGTTGGTGGGCACAGATAAAGCCGGACGCAGGTCGTTTCGTATCGCGGTGTAGATAGGGAGAGCGCGTGGCAGATGGATATGTATGCATGATTATCCTAAAGGGAAGAGAATACATTTTATGGCTCTCTTGAATCAATGCGAGCAAAAGTTCGACAAAAGGAGTGGCCCCGTTCTGCCGGCCAGTCAGACTCGTCCTCCCGACGGCGAGTGTAAGCGACTTGTGTCACCAGTTCGCTGCGTTGGTACACCATGCTGCGGGCCGGAGCTGCATGTCTCAAAGTGCATGTCTCTGCCTAACGATCGTGTAAAGACATGACTGGGCGCTGCGAGAGGGGATTGGAGAAGCGGCCCAGCAGGTGCGCAGCGACGATTTGTCAGGCCAATGCTTGGGTGCCGCTGTCCATTTGATACTGTTTCGGCATCACGCTCGCTGCGTTTTACGGGGTGGCATTGACAGCATGTACTGCGAGCTTCACTCGAAATGAAGGGTGCAGTGCTCGTCTCCAGCATATGACAGACAGCCTCACTGTAAGCAAGCAATCGCGACTTTCTTTACGAATGCTACGCTGTCACTGATCAACATCAACGAAGGTACCAAGACACAGGATCCTACGAATGATGAATGCATAGTCAGCCAGCCACAAGTCTGGACCGGTCTGTCAGGCTGTCCCCGCGCGTCTACAATGTCTCAGGCTGCTCTGACTATTCACAACGGCGTGGCCCTACATGTACGGCCCCGTTGTGTACATGTACGGCCCTTCATGTCGGCGCCGGCGGCGTGCCTCCCCGCAAGTCGTGCCATAGGCCAGATATCCTGCATGTGCAACTTGTATTTTGAACGTTGTACACTCATCCATGGAAGTCACACCTAGATCGTCCGTATGATTGCGGCAATATCCTTGTCAGTGCGGCTGATGAGGACTGAAGCGAGGGGGGTTTTGCATGCCGTATCTCATGCAACATATATGCCAACGAGTCGCCCTCTACCGCTCGTCTCAGTAATTCTGCTCACAGCGTCAGGCAGACCTATCTTGATACCATAACCACGGAAACACTGACGCCGAAGAATACACCGGGCACCTCAACTGATAAGATGGGCAACGTCGAAGTGTGCGCCGAGGCCATCGACGCCCCAGATCAATTCTTGGAGCCAGACTACGGGCGCCGCCTTCTTGTCAATGTCGTGGACGGGCGCGCAGCCAGTGAGCCGGACCGACCATTCGCTCATGTTCCCGCAACCAGCGACCCTAAGGATGGCTGGAAGCCTGTCACATACAGGCAGCTCTCGAATGCGGTCAATCATCTCGCGCATGAGCTCTTGCAGCGAGCTGAGAATCAAGACACCCCAAGCGGCGACTTCCCCACGGTAGCTTACATCGGGCCGAACGACGTGCGGTATCCAATCTTTATGCTCGCTTGTATCAAAGCGCATCACAAGGCTTTCTTCATCTCACCCCGGAATAGCGTCGAGGGGCAATTGTCACTCTTCAAGGCTACTAATTGTAGCATGCTGTATTTTGCTGAGTCGCATCTTCAGACAGTCCTGCCTTGGCTTGAGCGATACCCCATGCGGGTCGTGATGGCTCCAAGCCCTGACATCTGGCTCCAGTCGACCGCGGCTCCAATTGTCTTCAAAAAGACATTTGACGAGGCGAAATGGGATCCTCTAGTGGTGCTTCACACGAGCGGCTCTACTGGAATTCCGAAGCCGATTGTCATGCGCCAGGGCGGTTTGGCGATTGCCGATGGACTTCGAAACGGTCCAGACTTGCACGGAGCCCCGTCTACGTGGGTGCACTGGGGTGGTGCGAGCAGGTTCTTCCTGCCAATGCCATTGTTCCATGCAGCTGGAGTCGCAGCCATCGCCTCGACGGGCATATACTACGGCGCGGGCCTGGTGCTGGGCATCACGGATCGGCCCCTTACCCCAGACATGGTTGTGGAAAGCCTGAAGCATTCCGGTGCGGACGGTGCCATGCTGCCGCCTTCTATAATCGAGGAGATAAGCCATATGGAAGAGGGCGTAGAGGCTCTTGCCGCCCTGAAATACGTCGGCTTCGGCGGAGGTCGGTGCACGAGGACGTCATGCGGAGACTGATAAGCTCACCAATGCTAACATGTTTTCTTCTGCCCACAGGAAACCTTGCCGCTGCTGCGGGTAGCTCGCTTGTGGAACGAGGAGTCTCCCTCAGTAACATGATTGCCTCCACAGAGTACGTTGAGCGCCACGCCCCGTGCTCGTCCCTCCATTCCTCAGTCAGGCTAAAGACGCTGACATCACTAGGTGTATTCCATACATCTTGCACTACCAGACCGATCCCAAGCTTTGGCAATACTTCATCATCAATTCAAAGGACATGGGCGCAGACTTCCGACCCGTGTCTTGGGATGCCGACGTCTTCGAAATGGTCCTATGCCGCGACGACCCCAAGGAGCCAGGCCGCAAGGCCGTATTCTACACCTTCCCAAACAAGACGGAGTGGTCAACTGGCGACCTCTTCAAACCTCACCCCACTCTTCCCGATCACTGGATGTACCACGGCCGCGCGGACAACGTCATCGTCTTCTCGAATGGGGAGAAGTTGAACCCCGTCACCATTGAGGAGACGATGCTCGGTGACCCACGAATCAAAGGGGCGCTGGTCGTCGGCGATCAAAAGTTCCAGCCTGCACTGATTCTGGAGCCTCACGTTGCGCCAGCGGATAAAGAAGCGGCGGATGCGCTGATCGAGGAGATATGGCCGCTCGTGGAGCAGGCGAACAAAGACACGGTCACGCACGGTCGCATCGCCAGAGAACTTGTGGTTCTGTCGGACCCAGCGATGCCCTTCTTACGGGCTGCGAAAGGTTCCGTGCAGCGAGGTCCAACTGTTCGCGAGTACAAAGACTTCGTCGAAGAGCTCTACTTGAGAATGGATGAAGGGGTGGAGATACAAGACGCAATTGGGCTAGATCTCTCTAGCAAGGAACACCTGGCTCAATCCATCGTGGAAGTCATACACGCCAGGATCGGGAACGAGAGAGTCGGCCCAAGCACTGATCTCTTCGCCGCTGGCATGGATTCTCTCCAAGTCATCAGCCTCTCCAAGATCCTTCGCTCGAGCCTCGAGGCAGCTGGTGTCGCCGTGGATCAGAACACGGTAGCCCCCCGAGTTATATACGCCAACCCGACTCCGACGGCCTTGGCTGACCGACTCTTTTCTGTCGCTCATGGCGAGGACCATGGCCAGAGTGAATCATCGCGCGAGATAGAGGCGCTCGCGGATATGGTCTTGAAGTATACCACCGACCTGCCCGCGCCGAATGGCAATCAAGCCGACCCTTTGGATCAGGACCAGACTGTTCTCATCACTGGTACAACGGGATCGCTCGGCGCGTACATGCTCGATCGTCTCGTATCGAGCCCGAACGTTAAGAAAGTCATTGCACTCAACCGTGGCGAGGACGGCGGACGGTCCCGTCAGCCCGCCTTCAATTCCGACCGAGGCTTGACGACGGACTTTTCCAAGGTCGAGTTTCTCGGCGTCGACCTCTCCGTGCCAACTTGGGGACTAGAGCAAAGCAAATATGATGAGCTGCTGGAAAGTGCGGATCGGATCGTGCATAATGCGTGGCCGGTGAACTTCGTCATCAGTGTGTCCTCATTCGAGCCATTCATTCGAGGAGTCCGACATCTGGTTGACTTCGCCAGTCGGGCCGCCAAGCGCGTGCCAATTGTGTTCATATCGAGTATCGGTACAGCAGATGGGTGGACCTCGGGCGAGCCAGTGCCGGAGAAACAGTTGAACGACTTGACTCTTCCGCACATGGGCTACGGGCGGTCGAAGCTAGCCGGCAGTCTTATCCTCGATGCTGCAGCGGAGCGCTCCCGTGTACCGGCGGCGACAATCCGGGTCGGGCAGATCGGTGGCCCACGAGGCAAGACGGGCATGTGGAATCGCCAGGAGTTCATTCCGAGCCTAATCGCCAGCTCAGTTCATCTCGGGGTTCTCCCTGACAGCGTCGGACCGATTGACGTAGTGGATTGGACGCCTGTAGAGGACATCGCCGGGTTGATCCTCGATGTTGTTGGAGTCACGGCACCGATGCCCGTGTCAGACATCTCGGGGTACTTCCACGGCGTCAATCCATCGGCGATAACCTGGACCGAGGTAGCCAAGGTGCTGCATGAGTTTTACGGCGGACGGATCGAGAAGATTATTCCCCTGGAGGAGTGGGTGGCCAGACTGGAGGCGAGTGCCGATGACGCAGACGTCGACGCGGACAGGAACCCTGCGATCAAGTTGCTGGACACCTATCGCGGCATGGTCGAGGCTAATCGCGCCGGACTGGGCCATGTGTACTTCGACATGAAGCGCACGGTGGAGAAAAGCCCTACCATGAGGAACTTGGGACCTATTGACGCGGAGCTGGTGAGGAATTGGTGTGAGCAGTGGAAGTTCTGACGGACGCGAACTGTATCGTTGTGGATTCGAGGGATCAACGAAGCGCATGGTGAGCCGCAACAGCCAGACTGGTGCCCTCTCTCGTGTGGTGAGCCAACATGTGGTGTGGAGGGCTACTATTGCGCCGCAAATGCCTCTGGCCCCGTCCAGCCAAAGCCCATGAACTCGTCAGCGCCACTCAGGGCCTCGAGTAGTATCCCGTCCAACCAGCCCGCCTCAGTAGCAGACGACGAGAACAGTGTCAGCCCAGGAAAGTCCCATTCAAAGACAAATTGGTCCGGCACGAACGCGTCTGCATCACCGGAGTCGTCCACGTCAGGCCTTCCCGCTGGCATCCGAGTGCCTCTCGCACGTCCCGTGACCAACGGCGAGGGCTGATTTCCATCCAGAGCGTGCGAGTACTTTTCGATGCCCGTTCGCAGGAGCTGCAGGTATAGCCTCCCCGTTCCGCTTCTGTGCCCGCCGGCCATGTCCCCCCCTGCGGCGCTTAGCTCGTCCAGGAGCATGTTCCCGCACGACACGAGGTCGTGACCCCAGTGCTCGCCGCGATCCGGCTCTGGCAGCAGGATGGACAGCTTCAGAAGCAGCAGGTAGCAAAACACGCACTTGGCCCATACAAAGTCCATTGCGTAGCGGAGGTTGAGCAGGTATAGTCGCGGCTCCTCGACAATGATGTCAAGATGCTGCCGCAGCGCATCCCTCGCCATGCGCAGCAAGTCCTTTTGCGTCGTCGTCATTAAGCTCACGTCCTCGACACCAGTCGTGCGTACCGCCCGGCAAAGCGCCATGGTCACACCCCAGCACCGCTGCACCTGCAGGTTTAGCTTCAGCCAGGGGGCCTGCGGGTCGCCACTTGCATCGTAAATGCGTGCCCAGTCTGCAAACCAGACGTCCAGGTCGATGATTGCATCGCGCACGTCGTCCATGATGGCTTGATCGCTGCCATTGCCGGCGATGACGCGCCGCGGGTCGGACAATGTGGCTTGGATCCTTGCCCGAAGCGAGTTTAGCTCAATCTGTGGCCAGAGGCAGAGGTCTTGCTTCGCTGAGGTAGGGCGATGGAGTAGCACTCGGCATCGGCGAACGTTGCCGGTGAGCTGGAGCGATAGGATGTCGCCGGCATCGACATGAAGGATGTGCCCCATGACGAGGATAAACAGCCACGTCCGCGTCTTGCGCATCAGCATGGGCTCATTTGTCATTGGTGTCTCAGAGCGCTGCCACTCGCTACTGAACGTCTGACTCATAAGCTCATCATACGCTTCTGGGAGGCCGATGGTGAGAGCCATGCGCGTGGCGACTGATACCAGGAGCGACCGCTCGGACGTGTAGCACGCGCGCACCAGCAGCGCCTGCACGGTCTCCAGACATGCCATCTCGGGCATGACCAGCGCCGCGTTGAGCAGCCGCCGGATGTGAAAGTTGAGCAGCCGCCAGTGCTGCGAGTCGGTACCCGCGAGCACGCGACAGCCCACGGTGCATATTGCGCAGAAGAGGATGCTGCTTCGCGAGCGGACACTCTGCGGCGTGTCGAACAAGGGGTCGAAAACGGGGACATAGCGGTCCGAGCCGTGAAAGAATGCCTCGAAATAGACTCGCGCCTGTTCCGGTGAAAGAAGCCCTACGTCGATAAAGTCGGGGAGGGACACGGCGACAGTGTCAAAATGCGAGGCGCGTCGGGGAGGCAAAAAGACTGATTCCGGCGAGCCGGTCGCCGCGTTCTGAAGCGTCGTCGCATCGGGGGCCGTGACTGTAGACAGCGGAGAGATGGCAGAATGGCCGAATGTTTTGTTCGAGACCTGTGAGCCATCCGGACGGATCGATGTTAACACTTCAGCACCTGCGTGCTCTGCTGCAATCGCATCGCTGGCGTCGGACTGGGACTGCAGCTGGGCCTTGAGAGAGCCGAGCTGTGTCTCCAGCATCTCAATCCGCCTGTTTCCGTCAGCGAGTTTCACACAAGACACGATTGGGACTGTGCCGTGCGCTCACATCTGCTGGGCATCTTTCGGTCGCTCCTCGAACGCACACTCCTTGTTGAGAGCACGGCAGCTGCCACGGTCAGCTCGGTCCGACGGCAGATCTGCCCACAGGCGCGATCATGGTCTCCTTACCGTGAACATGGTCGTTTGCCGTCGCATTTCGCCTTGCGCTGTCAGTCAATCCGTAAGCACACGCAGAAAAGTTCCCCGACGCATACTTTGGAGTATCGGCAAGAGCCACAGGCAGTCTGCACGGAAGCCGCTCGTCAGCGTGCAAGATCGCAAAAGTGCGGGGAACCCGGGGTTTCCCATCGAAAATGGCTTACCGGTATTCTCCTCTTGCGAACCTTGGCTGGCGAGCCACCGGTGGTCGCACGCATGGCTGCACGTCACCATGTCCCGTCATGTGCCGATCGAGCCCTCGCTTCACTCGTCCCGGGGACCGGCAAAGTCGGCGAAAGCAAATCTGGGGTCGAGACGCGGCTGCCCGGTATCTAATCGCTAATGACAGGCCTCGATGCCATGCAGGTGCCAGTCAGCGCAAGCTCCAACGCCGGCTCGATGGCCGTCGCGTCCAGAGACCCTGATAATGCAGAAGTGAGGTTACAGCGAAGGATGGATGGCGCCCCAGGTCAGCACTCCACAGTCATTAGTCCACCAGTGGCGGTCGTCAATCTGCACCAACGTGGCTTGGAACCCTCCAACGGCAGGCGACCTGGGGTGCTGTGCCTCCCGTGTGGAGGCAGGAACCAGGTGCCAGTGCTTCTCCGCCTTTTGGCACGTCAGAAGGTGGTACGCTAGCGAGGCTCGGAGCGGGGTGGAGGTGCTTCTCCAAATGCGGAGGTTGTCAACCGAGATTCCTCGTTTCTCAACGGGCATCGCCAGTCTCCCGCGTCATCAGGAGTCTCACATGGAATCTACGACGCCACCATGCACATCCTATTTGGTTCTTGGACGAACTTTAAAGAGTAAATCTGCATCCAGCCGTCATCTTCACTGCATATCAAAAGCCAATTCAACCTTCAAGCTCGCGTACCTGACTTGGCCCGGAGCTCGCGCCGACGACGGGCGCAGATTATGCGGGGAAGACGCCGGACAAGGCCGGTTGACCCCCACATGGCTGGCATTGGCCCTGGCACAGACCTATCGTCCGCCCGGTTCCTGATCCGCGGTCGAGTCGCTCGTGGAAGAGCCAACCGGCACTCAGTGCAACCCAGTTAGGCCGCGAGCCAGGACCCTATTCTGCGCCGCTTGTTAGTTACTGCCTCCGTCACGACATGGATGGAACGTAACGTTGTAACCCCGGAGCACCATGACGTTCTATATCACGGCTCGTCGCCCCGGACGTTGTGTCGACATGCCACGCGCTTCGTCTCGACGGTGCGTCTTTGAACAGCAACTCTCGACTGGACCCTGAATCTGGGCGTCTCGTGTCAGCATGCTCGGACACGCGCTCGCCGGCGCTGCCCTCCTGGGCCTCGCCTCGTCCAACCCCATCGTCGCACAAGCAGGACAACGCGTCGCGATCCCGAACTGGGACCTGCAACCCGCAAGCGGCGTTCATGGATCGCTGGACACAGTGTCGAAGCCGGGCCACGACACTTCATCATGGCACCACATCCCGCTCCCGAGATGCACAATCCTAGGCTGCCTCCTCGGCGCGGGCGTGTACAAGGACTCGGAGATTTGGTTCTCCGACAACATGAACAAGTTCGACTGGGGTCAATTCCTGCAGCCGTGGGTGTACCGCAACGAGTTCGCGCTCGCTGGCAAGGCCGGCAAGGGGCAGCACTACTTCCTCGAGACCAATGGCATCAGCTCGCGCGCCGATCTGTACCTCAACGGCAAGAAGATTGCGGACAAGGCGGCACAGGCGGGTAGCTTTGGTGGACACACGTACGACGTCACCTCGCTCGTCGGAGAGAAGAACGCCCTTGCCGTCAATGTCTATCCGTCCGACTTCAACTACGATCTCGTGCAGGGATTTGTTGATTGGAACCCGCACGCACCGGACAATGGCTCGGGCATCTGGCGCGACATCGTCGTCAAACAGACGGGTTCCGTGACGATGGGCCCCGTGAGTGTATCGGTCGACATGGACGTACCCGTCGAAAAGAGTCGCGCCACGGTTACCGTCCGTGCGACGGCGCGCAACTTGGAGGACCACGATGTCAAGTTCGTGGCGCGATCTGTCGTCAAGGACCCCAAGGGTTGCAAGGCGCTCACCGAGGACAAGACCATAACACTGCGCGCAGGCGAGACGCAGACGGTTGCGATTGTGCACCGCATCGGCAAGCCCCAGATCTGGTGGCCCAAGACATGGGGTGCCCAGCCCCTGTACACTTCGGCGCTCACGTTCACCGTTGACTCGAAGCTGTCTGACACCTCGAGCCAGCGCTTCGGTGTGAGGACCGTGACTTCGCGCCTCAACTCGTACAACGACACCATGTTTTCTGTCAACGGGCACCCGTTCCAGGTCGTCGGCGGTGGCTACTCGCCCGACCACTTCTTCCGATGGGACGACAATGGCAAGCGCTGGGAGGACATTGTGCGATACTCGCTGGACATGGGCCTCAACACCATCCGCCTCGAGGGTATGATGGAACACCCCCAGCTGTACGAAATCGCCGATGAGATGGGCATGATGATTATTGCGGGCTGGGTGTGCTGCTCGAAGTGGGAGAGCTGGGAGTACAACCATGAGCTGCAGATTGATCCTGTGCCGCTCTGGACCGACAACGACTACGACACGGCCAACGCGAGCATGCGACACGAGGCGTCTATGCTGCAGCCTCACCCGAGCATGCTCGCCTATTTCGTCGGTAGCGATTTCTGGCCAAATGACCGTGCCGTAAAAATCTACGTCGATGCGTTGAAAGGTGCCAGCTGGGAGGTGCCGATTATCGCCTCTGCCAGCAAGAGAGGTTTCCCGGCGCTTCTCGGCCCCGGCGGCATGAAGATGGATGGCCCTTACGACTGGGTGCCTCCGAACTACTGGTATGATACGGAGCCGTCCGAGGACCGGCTAGGCGCTGCATTTGGCTTTGGGTCCGAGCTGGGCGCCGGCGTGGGCACCCCGGAGAAGGGTAGCCTCGTGCAGTTCCTCACTAAGAGCGAGATGGAAGATCTCTGGACCAAGCCGAACAAGAACATGTTCCACATGTCGACAAACATGTCCTCGTTTTACAACCGTAAGATCTATAACGAGGGTCTCTTTCAACGCCTCGGCAAGCCCACCTCGCTCGACGACTATCTCCTCAAGGCGCAGATCATGGACTTTGAGGCAACGCGCGCACAGCACGAGGGCTATGCCTCGCAGTGGAACGCCAAGCGGCCCGCCACCGGCACCATCTACTGGATGCTCAACAACGCGTGGCCCAGCCTGCACTGGAACCAGTTCGACCACTACATGCACCCGGCGGGCTCCTACTTCGGCACCAAGGTCGGCGCGCGGCTCGATCATGCCGCGTACGACTACGTCCGCCAGAGCGTGTGGGTGATTAACCGCTCGCTCGCCAAGGACGGAGCGCGCACCGTCGACGCCGAGCTCATGGGCCTGGACGGCAAGGTCCTCGACAAGCAGACGCTGCGCATCAACAGCAAGGCCAACACGGCTGCCAGCGCGGGTAAGCTCAAAGGCGTGAGCAAGATCAAGGGCGTTGCGTTCCTCCGCCTTGTGCTCAAGGACGGGGCGGGCAAGACGCTGAGCCGCAACGTGTACTGGCTCGCCAACGCGGGCGGCGTGGACCAGCTGAACTGGCCCAACTCGACGTGGTATCACACCCCCGTGAGCAAGTTTGCTGACTTTTCGTCGCTGTTCTCGATGAAAGCCGCGCAGGTGTCGCTCACCAAGGGCAAGGCGGGCGGGGACGGCTCGCACGGGCTCGTCCTGGAGAACAAGGCGCGCGTGCCGGCTTTCTTCGTGCGATTGAACCTCGTTGACGCGAAGGGCGCGGACGTTAATCCCGTTGTCTGGTCGGATAACTATGTGACGCTGTGGCCGGGCGAGAAGATGGAGCTGGACGTCAGCTTTAGAGGGCCGGGAGCCAAGGTGCAGGTTAGCGGCGGCAACGTCAAGGCCGCAGAGGTTTCGTTGTAGATTGGACGTCTACCCTTCAAGAAATAGGTTCTAAGTTATAATACAAAGCGAGTCATGACAATGTCCGTGTCCGTGGAGAGTGGTTTTTGGAGTAGTGTTGCGCCCGCTTGTTCATCCGATTTATCGTCGTCGATCTTCAATGTTCCTTGTCGCCAAAAACGCCAGAGATGCATGACAAAATAGTACAGGTCTAGTAAGAAAACATCACTCCAGGCGGGCTACCTGCCGCACGTTGGATAGCGCATCCCGGAAGAGCAACATGGCGTACACTCGATGGAACCAGAACATGAACGCCGGGCGCAACGGCGCGTCGACGGTCGGGTTGCACGTCACGCACTCGAGTGCGAGCTTGACCTTGCGGCCGTCGCGACATACGCTGAAGCGGTGGCAGCCTGCGAAGTGGCCCTCGCTGGAGCCGTACAAGACGTCGACACTGCTAGTCGTACCCTGATTTGCAGAGACCGTTGGGTCCTCGTCGGTCTCAGTGTTGGCGATGTCGATGGCTGCGACCTGGAATGCGCCAAAGATGGTGGAAGACGGAGGGGGGAGCGTGTCATTTGACAGCTCTTCTGTGCTCCAGATGCGTCTTTCTGGCGTGGTCAACCCTGGTTCTGTTAGTGTGCGACAGCGCCAGCAGAACAATCGGAAGGGCTTACCAGGAAAAGGACCAGCTTGCAGCCGCAACACCCCGAGGGCAATTCGCTCCGGCTGAAACACCCTGCCTCCAAAGAAACCCTTCACAAAACTCGCGAGAAGAACCTGGTCAGACGGCCCTTGTTGCTCGCTGGCGAGTCCTGTCCACCCGTCATCTTCCTCCGAGTCACGCCGCGGCAGCTCGAGCGTCACTGAGCGTGAGTCTGACATCGCTACATATCCTCTGGGGTTCACCAGGTTGCGGATCGTTGCTGACTTTGCAAATGACTCGGACACGGCATTTGCGCTCGTGATGGTGTTGGGCGGCGTGGTTGACACGCGCCTGTAGACCAGCGCCGTGTAGACACCGGCCGTAGCGGTGGCGACAAGCGCCGACGAAAGGGCTATTCTGTTGCTGAAGAGTCGGGTTGCCATGTTGTTAGTGGTTTCTGGATGCGTAGGCTCGAGATTCAAGACGTGCCGCAGGTTGTGCTGCCATGGTGTTTAAATGCCTTGCCCAGGGTGCACGAAGCTGACCGGGCGTCTTCGGGACCAGCTCCGGGGCTGCCCGCTTACGTTCACCGGAGCCCCGTCGCGACGCGACAGCTCAAAACGTCACGAGGCCATTGACTCACTCTGCGCCAAATAAGTCATCTCGAAATCTCCATTCAATTACTGCCCTCGATTTGCTTTTCTACGAAGACGCCGCAGGCTGGATCTGCGAGTCGCTGCCCTCCTCTATCGCTTCCTCCGGAGGCTCGTGTATGTCCGTCCAGGGCTCGAAGAAGCTCGCGCCCTTGAGCAATCCTCCGAATGTCTCCCAGACGGTGAGGAAAGCTACCAGAGACATGACAACGGCCATGAATTGCGTCGTGGTGAGATGGTCGTGCGTCTCGGGCAAGACCATGAGGATCACGGCGATGATTAGACGCATGCCGATTCGCGGATACTTGGACAGCATGAGGTAGTCTTCGTCCTCGGCGCGGTAGAGCATGCCGTACACCCACAGGCAGAAAATTCCGACGCCGAGCCCTCCGCCCAGGAGCCAGCGCTGGCCGTCCTCAAACTCGTGCAGCTTGGTGCTGATGGCGCAAATGTGCCCGCCGATGAGGAACGAGGCCGACATGGGCAGATGCAGCAGGAAGAAGCCAAAGGCGGTCCAGGCGGAGCGGCGGATGGGATGCGTCGCCTGCACGCTGCCGTCGCCGCTGACGTAGATCCAGTTCAGACAGAAGGCGATGATGAGTGTGAAGACGGCTTTCGCGTAGCCGGACGTCAACCCCACGCCGGCAGGGTCACCGACAATAACGCTGTACACGAACTCGCCCAGGATGATAATGAAGAAGGCCGCCATGCGGTCGATCTCGTGCGCAATATCGACGGCCGTGCTATAGCGGAGCTTGAGACGCCGCTTGATCCAAGGACTCAGCGTAAGCGCCCATGTGCTTTCCTGGTAAAAGATCATGACGGCGACAACGGCGGCCTTGGCCTGGATGCTGACGGACTCGAAGAAGAGCGGGATGGCGATGAACAGGCCGATGAACATGAAGCACGCCATGATGCGCGCCTGCGTCCGGTGCTGGTAGCTAGCGAAGGAGCTGATGAGGAAGACGCACATGGTCGTGAATCGCGCGACGACGTACGCGCCCGCCGTGGTGCGCATGGCGCTCAGATCCTCGTCGACGAGGCGCGCATTGTTGGCGTACAGGACCAGCAGCGCCATGACCCACAGGATGACCAGCCGCTGGATCAGGTCGTCGGTGTAGTACGAGTTCATGATCTCGCGCAGGTCGGCCCAGATGTGCCACGCCGGCGCGAAGATGAGGATATACTTGGCGAGGTGCGCGCCGTTGGGGTGCTCGGCGAGGTCGTCGCTGAAGTTGGCCACGATGGCGACGTCTGCGTCTCAAAGCGTCAGCACACCCATCCATGTTATTGTGATCCCACCACGCGCGCAGCGCGCACGCAGGCAATCCGGGGTGTCGGGCCTGTTACGCACACAGGAGGTCGAGGAACAGCTCGAAGCGGCCCGCCTGGCGCTCCTCGTCGCTCGCCTTGTACAGGCGGCCCTTGTAGAACCATTGCAGCGCCTTGGGCCGCTTGATCACGTAGCGCGACCCGCGCATGCCCTCCTGGAGCTCGTTGCAGTTCATGGCGACGCCGGGTGTCCCGCGGACGAGGTGATGTGAAGGGGTGACGGAGGCAGACCTGGCGATGATGGCCGAGACAAGCCTGGGTAGCGTCCCCTTATGACATTTTAGCCCGTTTCTCTGAGACACACACACTCACCGCGACGCGCCCGCACGAGGAGCCAGAAGCCCGACCGTAGCATGGATGCCACCGTCCGGTTGCCGGGCGGCTGAATCCGGAAGGGTTTAGTTAAGCTCATTAGGGCGTCGCTGGCCTGGAGCTAAAGGGCAGCCGTTGCGGCTTTGGCGCAGGCGCATCTTCAATTCCCACCACTCGCCTGCCGGCAAAACGGGCGTCCTAGGGCTTACCGGCGGCAATGCCTGAGTCTAATTTTGCCGTCGATTTTTCGTCATGTTCGCGGTCGGACATTTTGGCGATGCCGTCGCTGATGCTCGACTCGCAGAAAGTACAGGCACAGCAAGATATTGCAATGCCCTCGGACATTGACGATGATCACCTTGAGCTGGTAACTCCGTTGCCTCATAGAAGCATCTGCGGGCAGCTGTGAGATGAGAGGCTCCACTGAGCTTGCAGATACGATGGAGACTGAAGGGGGGAGGACCCTGGTGGAGATCTTCGGTGGTCTGGATGCTGACAGTCCCCGAAACAAAGTGCTTGTGGCGCTGGTTAAACACGGCCATCCCTCGACCATGCAGGCACTGATCCACAAGCTCACTATTTAGTCTCTGATCAGGCAGATAGGCAACAGAATGGGGTACGAAGCATGCTGCAAGAGCTCTATCCAACCGACAGAAGCATCTGTGAGTCGGTGAGTCCAGCAACATGCGCCACCCGGAAGCAGCTGCAACCAAGGACACTGGACGAAGACGATGGGGTGCGCCCACACGAGTGCTTGATGAATATATAGATGAGTCGTATTCCTGCCACTAGGACCCTCTTTCACAGGATGGCTATCTCCACATGATAGTTTACCTCATCACAACAGACCTGTACGGGCCCTTCTCCATGCATCGCCCACCGCGAAGGCCGATCCAGTCGCCCGCACACCCAATGTCCTTGTTGGCTGCAACAGCACGTTAGCTCTGAACATGGTATTTAGTGAGTTGTACCAACCTCGGCTCAGCAGGAAGCCTGCGGTGTTGTAAAAGAAGGCACCGGTCTTGCCGTCGAGATCATAGCAGTTGCCGGTGCTGGGTGCCGCGTGATAGAGGATGTTTCTATCGTGAAGGCTGCGCATGTTTAGATGCCTGGGCTCCATTCGCGTGTCAGTCTACTTACCAGTCATCCATGGTACGGTACTGGTTCAACTTGGGCTTGTCTCGGGCAAGCAGGGAGTGGCCGGTGCCGTCAGATGGCGCGGCAAGCGCACAAGGCAATGCCAAGATGGTAGAGAGGATGAGAAACTTCATGGTGGACAACAAAAACAGCTGGAAGATGTTGGTATAGATGCCGCCCAAGCTTTACTATGAGCGACAAGCATGGCCTTTATAGCTCGCACTGGCCTATGCGCATGTAGTTGTCTCATGTAGCACTCGATCGCTGTGACGCCCAGCCGCCACGTTCCCGGGCACCTGCCGCGATTTGTCTCGCCTTCATGTTGACAATAGTGCCGTAGTCAATGGTCAAGCATGAGCGCATAGCGGCAAGTTCCTTGCAACTAAAATCTGACATTGACGGGGGCAGGAACCGAATAGGAGAAGACGGAGTTTATCACTCATGGCCGTGGACACTAAACTATACACCTGATACAAGGCATACAAGAGCATATAGTCAGTATCGACGTAACATAGCGCCGAATGATCAATATGACACAGGATAGAATCCTGTAGGATGACTGGACGGAAGATCATTGACCCAATGCCATCGCCACTGACGTCTTGATTTCATTTCATGTTTTCAGCTGTAGCGGATCATGCCCGAGATAGTGGATTGAGGCAAGGCGCATAGGGTGAGGCCGATGTGGCGATTGGATATTACGAGGTATATACCCGCTCTCTCAGGGTTCACATCCGCGGTAAGCAAGTCCGAGCAGGCGCAAGTCCGAGCAGGCCAATGGCCTCGGTTGACGAGCCTAGCGCGATTCAGCCCAAGTGGACAAACAGGCGCGTCATGGGGGCGGAAAGTAATAAGGCGACCCGCAGTTATCCGCGCGAAACGGCAATAGTATGCTGTCAATATGGACAGCACTTACATACCTGCCGCATTCGCCGCCTGCTAACCGCGGCATCCAGGTATATGCAGATCGCTCTAGGCTTCCTGTAGGATTCGATGCGACCGCAAATCAAGGCAGTAAGCTTACCTACGCCAATAGCGTGGTATGCTGAAGAGTATACCTTGTCGATTTCCGGAGCATGTCAGCCGCGAGGATCATGTCTTCGACGTCAGGCAAAGTGCGTGAAAGAAAGATGCTTGGTCGCTGATGGGAACAGGGTTGAGATCGTCATAACTCTGCAAGCGACGTACTGTACACGGAGCCATCTGGTCAGGACGATCCAGTACATATCGTATCGATGATAACAGTATTTAACGGCCGCGACACCCAGCTCTGTCTACAGGTCTCAAGTAAACGCCCACAGTCGTCTTCCGTCCTAAATTCTTTATTTCCAGAGACTTTGCCAATTCATCCCCGAGCTCCCAAATCACGACACCATGAAGCTCTCTATTTTGTCCACGGCACTCTACCTGCCAATGATTCTGGCTATGCCGTCTGACCCTGCCGCTATCTCCCAGCTGGAGGGTCGAGACAATGTGAAGCTTAACCAGTATCGCACTTTAGATGACTGGTAACTGTCAAGCATTCGGACTGGCATTGACACATCATCTAACACCACGTATAGCCAGCATGACAGGAACATTCTCTTCCACGCGGCACCTGTTTCCGGGAAGTGCTATGAGCTCGATGGCCAGACCGGAGCCTTCTTTTACAACACCGGAGGTTATTTGCAGTCGCACTGTAAGTATATGCATGGGAGACCGCAATGCCAAGTTCAATGTCACTGATCCAGTTCTTGTAGCGTATGATGGCCATGGATGCTCAGGAACAAGCCACAAGTTTCAGCGGTACACTGGAAGGTGTGTGGAGAGGGGCACTCAGAACTCCGTTCGGTTTGTTTAAGTGTGGAACATCTCTCACCTGGTCTGGATGAAAAGAAATGGACGGACTGAAAATTGGGGTTAACATCTAAGGGAGAAATGGAGAGAGCTTGAAACAAACAGGGCTGAACGAGGCGCATCATACATGCGAGAATGTCGATAAGACATCATGTCACACCAACGCGGTGACGACGGTCATGATGTAGAATGTTAAAACTGGTCTCAAAGAGTAGCATGACAAGGTTCATATAAATTAGAACGTTGGCATGTAGACTTGGTTATCTATCCACCATGGCAGCAACCAACTTGCCCGAGTTCGGATCAACCTTTTGTCTGCCCTTGAAGTCCACGCCCAAGTCTTTCGTCTTGTCTCGAATACGATACCACATCCATTGGGGGCCGCCTCTCTGCATCATCTCGTTAGCCGTCTTGCGTAAGTCGCCATAATACTACTGTATCTCACCAGAATAGCGACGTATCGCATAATGCCAGGCAGATAAATCGTGCGACCACGCCCGCTGTACAGCGCGCTAGCAATGGCTTCGCTGACCGTCTCGACGTCCATTAGCGGAAACAAGAAGTGCAGCTGCCTCGTCTCGCCTTTGAAGAGCGGCGTCTTGATAAAGCTCAAGATGGCAAGCGAAAGGCGAACCCGTGGCGCGGGATGGTCGTGGCGGAGTTCCAGCTGAAGGGCCTGCATAGGTACTCTTGGTTAGCTGCTTCAGGGTGAAATATCGGACACAATCAGCTTACCTCGTGTAGGGCGATCAAGCCAGCCTTGGTAGCAGCATAGTCGGCAATCTTTCCAGGAGGCAATAGCGCGCTCATGGACGCAATATTGACAATGTGGCCGTGATCCCTACGAATCATCTCTGGCAGAAACTCCTTGCAGAGCAGGAACGGGGCCACGAGGTTCGTGTTGATGGTGAGCGTAACGTCGCTGTACGAGCCGTCGGCTACGGTAGAGCCTCGGCATATGCCCGCGTTGTTGACGAGAATTGTTGGGTTCCCGACGTTTGCACGTATGCGCTGGCAGAGGCCTTTGATAAGGGATGCGTCGCTGAGGTCGCATTGGTAGAAGTGGATCCGGGCGCCAGAAGGAAGCGTCCATGTCGGGGGCGTGTAGTCGACGACGATGATGGTGCTCTGCGGCCTTTCTGCGTGAAGACGGAGTACGAGACTGGCACCGATGCCGCTGCTGCCGCCGGTAACGACGATAATTTCATCATTCCAGTCGATGTTGGCCGATGGTGTCCAGTTGTTGGCTGTGCCGTCGTTGAGGTACTCTGTTGCGCTCAGAAGCAGCGTAACCGCGGCAAGCGTGTATATCAGCCACGCCAGCACTGGAAGACGGGGCACTGGAATTGGGGAGAGCTCTAGCTTGGCCCAAGACGTGAGCACTACGGTAGGCAGAATGAGGTGCGGATGAAGCAGAGAGCTCCGGAGAAGGCGGGCAACATAGTCGACGACAAAGCCCTCTCTTGGAATTGGCATTTTGGAGTATTTGCGGAAGTGATAAAAGCAATTGGCTGAGAACCATCATAGTGTATTTCAGGTCATACGAAATATAACGCTTCGCTATGGGTATTCGGAATCATTCCGACGTGGTGTAGCAATCGTCGGAACTGGCCCCGACGCTGCATGAAGCCTCGGTTGAACGGTATAGCTAGCGTTGACGAATGTAACGGGCTGGGCCCGTGTGGGTCTCGGCTCCGCTCTCGACCGGGGATCCACATCGGCTCCGGAGCTCCCTTTAAAAGCTCGTGTTCTGTTCTCGAACTTTCTTCTTTTTCTTCTTCCTTTCTTTTCTCCTCAGCTTTAGGATACTCGTTGCAGTCGCTCAGCTAGTTGTCAAT